GCCCGGTGCTGGTGGGTGTCCAGCGGGTGCTGCTGGCACACGGGTGCTGCCACCGGCACCTCGGAGCCGAGAGCCGGCACTTCCTCGGGAAATGGATGTTTGGCTGTTTCCCTCCGCTCGGAAAAGCCTAGTCGAGGGAAGCGTCGTCCCTCCCCGCATGCTGTTTTGGTACCTCGGTGTATTTTTAACAACATCCCTGAGTTACAAGCTGTGTTTTCAGTGAATCAGGCATTAATCTCCTGCGCTCGTCAACCCGGCGCAATCTGGCGAAGCCGCCGGTGCTGCGGGGATGGTCGTGTTCGCTCAAGCTCCCGGCTGCGCAGGCAGGGAAAAATGTCACCTTTGGTTTAGGCCAGGAAAGAAAAACTTTGTTAAACCAGCGTGCGAGGCTGGGCTCTCGGGGGGGGGGGGGGGGGGGGGGGCTTTGTGTCCCCACATCTTTCACCATCCCCTGCCCTGTTGGGTCCCGGGGACAGGGCAATGCTGCCATAGCGTGCTCGCCTGCCCCAGTCCTGCTCCCTGGAGAAGGAAACTGGAAAGATTTAAAGTTAAACATAAAATAGATCTTTCGTAGAGCTACAAACAGCCGAAACAGTGCGGCGCGTCCCTTCCCTTCGTGCAAGTTAGTGCTGATGGCCTTTAATGTGACGAGCGTGGCTATAAATGTCCTTTATTAAAGGTTTTGGTGACCTGGGTGCTTTCAGTGAGGTTTGCCTCACTTCTGCCGCGGACATTGAATGGGGCTGCCCACAAAATCCCTTCTCTCTCGTGCAGGGGGGCTGCCCCCGCTCCCACACACCCATCCCACTCATCCCCCTTCGTCCCAGGTTTTTGGCTCTGCTCTGCCACACCGGCACCGGAGCATTCGGCTTCGGGCTTTGCTTTTAAAACCGTTCAGGGATGACGCCCTGAACACCTTCGGGTCTCGCTCGTGGTGCAAGTTGGGGGTAAGGAAAATGAAGCTGGTTTCAGACTGGCAACTAGAAGCGGTTTGGAAGGTGCTGGGGCAAGCTGTAGCCGGAGGGACGGGTCCAGGAGCAGGTTGCCCATCAGCTGAGGACGGCAGCAGATAAAACCCTCCGGGCTTCTCCGCATGGTGGGGTTGGGCGGTGATTTGTGGGGAGCGGTGCAATTGTTCCAGTTCTGCAAAGTGCAAGGGAAGCTGGAGATCAGCGAGAGGAGAAGTAAGAGAGCTGTGCTAATGAAAAAAAAAAAAAAAAAAAAAGTACGTATAAGAGAGCTGACTTTTAATCTAGGTTAGGCAAAGTTATCCTGAGAGAGTGGAGCCTCCTGCAACGTCCTCTTTAATGGCCACTTCATCCCTCAGCAGTGCTGACTTCCAATTTGAAAAGGGCTTTTTTTTTTTTTTTTTTTTTTTCCCTTCCCCTCCTGAAAGAGTGATTAGACAGAGTCAGCATAAACCCTCAGAAGCAGGGGTGGTGCCAGGTATCTGGGAGGCTGGGCTGCCTGCTCCGGGCAGGGAAGGTCAGGGCTTGGAGATGGGGTGACATGCTCGGGATTTTCACAGCCGCGACTGGCACCGCCGGCGGGGCGGGGGGGTGGGTGCTTGTGGGGGGAACCCCATCCTCTCTCCCCATGGCGTTAGTGCCCAACAGGGACAGATGACCGGGGCAATAATGCTGATGGGCTGTCTGATGGCTACTAATCAAAAAAAAAAAAAAAAAAAAAGGCATGAAAACACCCTCTTCCCCTTCCCTTGTGGAGCCACGTGCTGTGGGTGGGCCATGGCTTTTCTGGCCACCGTGTCCCCCCCCCGGAGACCCTCGCTGGGTCTGGCCCGAGGTGGGTGAAATGGGCAACGGGCTCCAGGCGGCGCTGGCCAGATTCTCAGCATCCCCCAGGGAAAGCACACGAGCGTCAACTCAGCAATTCATCCCATCATTTTGTCTAAAAAGATCATTTCTAGCCTTAAAAAAAAAAAAAAAATATCGCCGAGAGCTTCCACCACTGGCCCAGAAAATGCCCCGTGCCCTCTGGGGAGGGGGGTGGCAGAACCCTGCCACGTTCCCAGTGGATCCCATCCCATCCCATCCCCCCGGAGCCCCCGAAGCCCTTGGGCCGTGCTCTGCCCCGGTGCCCTCGGCCAGGGTTTGCTCGCCGCTCCGTCCTCGGTGGCTCTGTGTGGGCCGCTGCCGGCTCAGCTCTGCTTAAGTGTCTCAGACGTGGGAATTAGCGCAGCGGAAGCACAAAGGGCTTTTGCTGTCCAGTTACTTAGAAACCAGCCATTGATTTTACTTGGCAATTTTGCAGCTTCCGGGCATGTGTGTCTATATATATCTATCTATCTCTATCTGTGTGCGTGTAATATCTACACGTGTACCTGGAAGCTGCAGAACAGATATAGATAGAGATAAATATATAAAAATATATATTATTTTTTCTTGGTGGTTTTTCTTCATTTTGGTGTTTTTTTTTTTTTTTTTTTTTTTTTGTTCTTGTTTTTTTTAAGGGGTTAGAGAAGAACCAGGTCTGGAGAACTGTTACTCTTGCAGACAATTTACTGCTCAGCCACAGGACCAGTAATCAAATTAGTGGCTGTGAGCTTTCCAACAGTGCAAGGCCGGCGCTGGGAGGCGAGCCACCCCGAGTGGGCTGAGTTCCCAGCTGGTTTTGCAGCTCCCCATGTCAGTGTGGCTGCTTTGCTTTCACGCTGCCCACCCGTTAATTGGAGTGTATGGTTGAGTGAAATGTTTGTGGGCAAGCAGGGGGCTGGGAAAGATGGGAAGGGGCTGCAACTTGGTGATGTTCTCCAAGCTGGACCATGGGCTCAGCTAGACTCCACCTGAGCAGCTAGCTGCAAAGACTCAGCATTATCAGTTCTCTTGACTTATAAATTATTTTTTTTTTTTTAAGTGCCCAGGTCACACGTACGTGACGTAAATGGCAAAGACAGCTTTGGAAATTCAAACATGCTATTTCTGCCCCAATTCATCAGTGGACCAGGCTCTGCACAGAGCTGGTTGTGGCTCACGGGAGCAAAGCCCGGTTTATGTGTGTGTTTGCTTTACCCCCTGGGTCCCCAGTGTGCAGGGGAACGAGCCCTGTGCATATACGTACCTGAGGGTATGGATGTGCATTTTTATATATATAAATGGGCATAAGTGTGGATGTGTATCTATATATGTAGAGAGGGGTACAGCTCCTTGGCCAAGCAGTGCCCTCGCAGCTGTGTGCCTGTGCAGAGCCAGACTTTGAAAGGCAAAGAATAGTTCAGTGAGGAACAGGACTTAAAAAAAAAAAAAAATCCAGAACAAAAAAAATAAATCCAAACCCCCAAACTCTTCTACAAAATAAGCATAAACTGGAAACGCACAGTAGCACTTCTCCAAATGGCATTCTGCGGGGGGGTGGGCTGTCTGCAGAAGTAATGTGGAAATCCCAGTCCCGGGAGCCCGGGCTCCTCTTGCCTGCCAGAAGGGTTGCAGCTCTGTCTGGAGCACGGAGGCTGCTGCTGGGGGTTTGCCTTTGAACTTTTGAAGGGTTCTGATTTGTGCGGGTGAGCAGGGGAGGATTGGCATCGTTTGCGCTATTCGGTGAGCGGATGGGTTTTGTTATGCAGGGATCTGGCTGTTCTTTTACTCAGGGGAGAAAAAAAAAAAAAAAAAGAATAAAAAGGGAAAAAAAAAAGCATAAAGAAGAAAAAAAGAAAGAATAAAAAAGGAAAAGAAAATAAAGAGAGAAAAAAAGAATAAAAAATAGAAAAAAAAAATCAGGTCAGTGCTTACCCCAACTGTGCTGTGAGCCTGAGGACTCGTAGTGCTGGAAATGCAGCTCCAGCTTCTCAAATAGCTACTTGAGGACAAATTCCTTCCAGCTGTGCTGTATTTTGGGTACAGCAGTGGTGCTGGGGGGGCTCTGGGGAATGGGGGGGGGGGAGGGGAGTGACCCCCAGGGCTGCCTGCTGGCGTCAGGCTGGCTCACCTGACCTCCCCGGCACGACGCGGGAGATCGTGTTGTATGGGTGACCACCTGAAATGGCCACAAAAACCAAGGGTGGAAAAAGAGAAAGAGCTGAAAGAGCAGGGCACGACCTGCCCTCATGTTGGCTGTTCTGTCTGACCCTTTTCAGTGTCCCCAGCCTGTGGTTGAGCAGAGCTTTTTGGTTTGTTTGGTTTTTGTTTTTTTTTTTTTTTGTTTTTTTGTTTTAAATTGCCTTCAAATAATTCATCAGGAGCAGCAAAAAGTGCAGTGGTTGTTTGCGGCGCTCTGCCGCAGAAGGTAGATAGATGGTCCCTAAATTACACCTCGATCTGGCAAAAAAATTGCACAGATCCAGCTGTAATGTAAAGGTTAAAGCAGGAGGGTATAATTAAAAGGGTATTTTGTACTGCAGTGACAGGTTTAAGTCAGGGTAGGGTTTTAATGTATGGCACATTTCAAGGCCTCACAGCTAATTATCTTGTCTCCAGCCTGGCTCTGGGAGGTGGGGAGAAGGGTATTAACTTTATTTTGCTGATGCTGAAAAGCAGCCGGTGTCCGGGATCAAGGCGCTGCCTCCCCTCGGGCTGGGAAATCCTGAGCTGCTGCTTTTGGGGCAGGGGGAGGGGGGAAACACATGAGCTCAGGAGCCCCGGTGGGTTTGCTCTGATGGACGTGAATGTTTTGACAAGTGTGAGAGTGAATTAAAAAAAAAAAAAAAAAAGTGAAGCCGAATAAGGAGAATACTTTAATCAATGAATAGCAACTGATGGTGAAAGGGAGGGAAACGCAGGTGCCTTATTCATGGGACACCAAATGGCATCAGGTGTGAGCTACATCTGAATTATTTGGGTTTATTCCTGGCCCCACAGTGCATCCACCCTCTGGAGTGGGCAGCCAGCGTCCCGCTGAAAGGAGAAGACACCTCTTTTGGAGGAAATGGGATGATTTGGGCAAAAACAGGGACTCATCTTCTCCAGCTGCTGGTTTCCCATGGGGTTAAGCTGTGTGTCCCTTGAGGGCTTAGCAATATTATCTAATTTATTTTCTTTTCCTTCTAGAAACCTTGGAAAATCCGGACTGAGAGTCTCATGCCTCGGGCTGGGTGAGTAACCTCTGCGGCACCTACTGCAGCCACGCGCTGCTCTGGCGGGGTGGGAGCTGCTCTTGTATTTCAGTAAAAAAAATTAAAAAAGAAAAAAAAAAATGTTCTCTCAGAGCCCCAGCCTGCACTTGGCCTTGGCATAAAAAGCTTCTAATATGACCAGACCCCCGCAAGCGATAGCCTGCAGGGACCACATCTGAGCTGTCTGAACAACCCCAAGAGCTTCGAGTGTCAGAGCTCCCGTCCTGGGGCGATGGCAGTCTGCCTGGGCTGCGGGCGAATTTTTATTTTATTTTATCTGGCGTGCACACCTTATTATTTCTGTTCCATACTGGTTTGAAAACTAAAGCCTGGCTTATCAATATTTTACCTGAAAGGCCTCTACAAGCACTGCGGCACCCGCAGTGATGCTGCTGGTAAGAGCGTGTGAGATGGACTGGACAGCTCCGGCTTTACTCGTGCGAGTAATTTCTTTGACGGCCGTTGAACCACTCACGTGAAGAAAGCTTAAAAGTACATGTATATGTGAATAAACCCCCGAATGCTGTAAAAAGGAGGGGGCTGTTCTTCTGGCTGTGAGCACGTCCCCGCGGTGCAAGCGCAAAGCCCCCGGGGATGGATGCTCTGCTCTGTCGGGGCCCCTCCGGCCCCATGTTAAAGGGGTTGGGGGGTTTGTGTTCCCCCCCGGGGTTCAGAGGTGCCAGCACGTCTTTAGGAAAGCGGTTGGGCGTGCTGGGCTGCTCGGGGGGGGCAAATGGGGCTGGCAAGGACCTGGGCTCTGCCCGCCTTGGGGGCTCACCCTGGCTATGGGCACCTCCACCCCCAGCGGGCTCACAGGGCGGGTGACCGAGGGGTTAGCTCATTTTTTTTTTTTTTTTTTTTTTTTTCCAACATGCTTTGAGATTTGATTTTAAAATAGAGTGAATTGTGAAAGTCACCCTGTATCACAAGCCGTATAAATAAGGCCTATTCCACCAAGAAGAGCTCTTGTGGTTAAAATAGACCCAGGCTTTGAAAGGAGTTGTCGTCTTATCTGTGCGGAGTTTTTATTTATCACCCGTAGAGTTCACCAAGAGCTAATGTTGTGGTGGAGAAAAGCGATGGAAAGGAAGTAGCAGCAGGAAAAAGCATTTTGCAGAGCTTTTCTTTGATTTTTTTTTTTTTTTTTTTGAGCATGTGGAACTGCAGCAACATCTAAATATATTGAGCTTTTGTGAGCGCAGCTGCGCGGGATAAGTGGGGGCTGAGGAGGGAGCAAGCGGCTGCTGTGGGCAAGGGCAAGGCCAGGGCATCGCTTTGGGGGGGGGTAGAGCATTGTTTTGGGGGGCCAGGGCATCTCAACCTGCTCCAGCAGCGGTGAGCCCTGCAGCCCTTGCAGTGTGTGCAGGCAGAGAGGAAGGCTGGAACTCCTGCAATTCAATTGCCACCTTCTCCTGAACGTGCAGGTATTTGTTCTGCAGCACAGTGTGTCCTCCCCTCCCGCTGCAGATCCTTCAGGTTGTGGCTTCTACGACTTTTCGAAATAGCTTCTCTTTTCGCAGTGCCCTAAAAGATAAATGTGTTTCCCTAAACGCTCGGTAGCATGAAAATCTAATTTAAGGTTTACTAAAGTTTCTGAAGGCTCAGCAATCTTCCTTAAAAGCCTTCCAAAAATCTCAGCAAGGTGGGAGTGTGCTTCACCCTGTAGTATGAAAAAGCGGAGAGGAATGCGAAGCGGCACAGGAATCAAAGGCAGGCCGTGCTAAGGCAACGCGTCCCCTTTCATGACGTCCTGCTTCTCCCAGCTCACGCTCTCCAATTAATTCTTCATTTGCTGGGTGCTGTTTGCAGCTCCAGCGAGGTCGGGCGTGTGTGTTAGCCGCGTGTTTCACGAGCGGAGGGCGTTTGGGAAGGCTCGCTGCGGCAGCGGCCGAGCATCGCTCCTGCATCGCTGCACCCCCCCGCCACCGGCTCCTGCAGCACCCCGGTGCTGAGCCCTGTCCTGGGCCGGGCTTTCACCTCCTCCTTGGAGCAAGTTAACACCAGGCGAGGCTTTAATTTGAGGAGTTTTAGTAGCCTACCGCTGGGTAGGCGCGCGGGCTGGCGGGAGGCCCTTTGCGGGATGCTGGCTCTGAAACGCGACTGCGATGCGGGGCGAAAAAAATGAGGTCACGTTATTCTTGTAGTTAATTCGGAGCGAATTCGGCCTGTGGAGGGGCTGCCTGTTGATTTTTATTTATTTATTTTTTTTTTTTTTTAAGAAGAATGTTGAGACAGCCTCCAATGAGGCGATTAGCTCCGGCTCTGAGGAAACGAGCAGCGGGACAAAACCAGCCATCCCAACCCCCCCAAAAATCCAATTCCGTGTACAAAAACGCCGAAGGAACCTCCCCAAAACGAGCGGTTCCTGCAGCCACCGGCGGGATACCGCGGGCTGGCAGCCGGGTACAGAAATTGCCTGTTTGTGAGCAGAAAGGGATCGGCTGCTGCCGTTGCCTCTCGGTGCTCTGCTCTGGGGAAAATCTTTTTGCAAAGCCAAGCCCACGTGTCCTCCGGCCGGGGCCGGCGGCGAAGGGGGGTCCCGTTTGCACCCCGGCACTCGCGGCGCGCGGGGCTGAGCCTTTGGTGGCTCGAGCGCCGGAGCCACGTGCCAGATCTCCATGTGGCATCATCCTCGCCAGGAGCAAGCCAGGGATAAAATTGTACTGGCAGGAGGCGAAGCTTTGGCTTCCAGACAGGAATTTTTTCTTTTTTTTCTTTTTTTTCTTTTTTTTCTTTTTTTTTTTTTTTTTTTTTTTGCCTGCAGAGGTGACACATCTGCTGGCAGTGACATTATCAAGTGGCGAATTTCGCATCAGCAAATAACCCGTTAATAACCACACCTTGCTAGGCTCTGGGATGCGATGGAAATGGAGCCAAATCCAGTTTTAATACATAAATGCCTCTGTTGAAGGTGAGGATATCCAGCTGGGAAATTGCTTTCCAATGCGAGGGAGCAGCGGGATGGGCAAGGGGCAGGAGTGGGAGGTCAATCTGCCACGCCGCGTCGTGGAGGGGCTGCATTTATAGACAGAGGATTGGGATAGACAAGACAAATACTTGGAAAAGGGAAAAGTAGTGATTTTTAAAAAAATATGTCTTTCTCTAGTATATTTTTCTTCCAAAGTGCTCCCGTTGGCTGAGGTTGTGAATCATCCTCAGGCATTTGAAATGCCAAGTGCGCCTTTGCGCTTTCTGGAGTGATGTTTTTTTTGTTGTGTGGGATTTTTTTTTTTTTTTTTTTTTTTAATCAGAGCGGAGCAGCGGGTGCCCTGGCAGCTGCCCCAGCCCTTTGGGTGTGGGTTCCCCCCCCCGCCCCAGGCAGATTTGTGTGCTGCCTTCCCAGATCTGGCCAGGACCTTAACGCGGCATCTCGCTTTCTTGACGGCGTCTGATGCTTTAGGGATCACCTTGCTGAGCAAAAACTCCCCTCCCTGCCTGTTTTTTTGCAATAATCAAGATGGGGGGGGAAAAAACAAAACAAAACAAAACAAAACAAAACAAAATACCCTGAGGGTTCCCCACCCATGTGGTCCCAATGCTGCTTGCTGTTCAGGGGTCCCAGGCCCCTTGCATCCCCCTCACTGGGGTCTGGGAGTGTGGTGGGGCAGATGGGAAGTCTCAGGGCAGGTATACCCAATATTACATATATTTGCTATTTATACTTAAAGAGGTAAAATTATTGTTGTTCTCACATGAGCCACTTTGCCTCTCCGTTACTCCTTGCTGCTCGGTGGGGCACGGTTGGTTTTGTAAGGTCGTTGACACGTAAATTCAAGAGATGTGCAAAGCCCAAAGTGTATAAATAATTCCTTTTCTTCTCACCTGTGCTGGTGACCTGTATGCATACTTGAGCAAAAAAACCACTTTGGGATAAACAGTCTCAACCCATTTTTCAGGAGATAGGCTTTTTAATGTATTCCTATAAAAATAACGCTTCTGAAGCTTTAACATGGAAATCAGGCTTCATTTGGATGTTTTTTCACCTGCATAAAGAAGCTTAATGATAAACTGAAGCCTATTTTTATCTTTATTGTGTGGAACCAGACCATTTTACTCCAAAGATAAGAGAAAGTACCTTTCCTGAGGTCTAGAACCAGCAAGGCGTAGCAAGGGCTCGGCGAGTGCTGCCATCACTTGATTATTGCCCTTACAGAGAGCAGAAGTAAATGCAAAATTAGCTAGAAATATATATGCTCTTTGCTCATTCCTTTTATTTCGGTAGCATTAGCTGTGTTATGCGTTGCTGATCAGTGGGAACTTGGGTTATTCTGCAGGAAATCAAGAGTTTCAGTTTAAATACGTGGTAAACGTGCATGGAATCATAGAATTGTTTAGCCCAGAAAAGACCTTTAAAATCAAGTCCAACTGTTAACCAAGCACTGCCAAGCCCAGCGTCTTTATAAATAACTTTATTTGTACTCAAAGAAACCTGATGTATAAAAAAAAAAAAAAAAAAAAAAAATCAGATTGACCTTTTTTGAGGGAAATAGAGCAAGACTCTCCTTGTTTTGTTTCTAACCAGGGAGTGACCAGAGAAGAGCCGACGCTCTTTGCTTTCTGACTCCTTCTCAGGGTTCATCTCCCGTGCTCACTGTGAGCAATGAGCTAACCAGTAGATTTTTAATGAAGATTTAAGAGCCTTTATTTATCTGTTGCACCAGGTCCTTTGCAAGTGCAAGCAGGCAGGGAGCATTTAATTGTTTTCCCCCCCTTGGCAGCATCAGATCGCGGTCTCTCCTCCGTCTTACCTGGCGTGTCCCCAGCCCGCTGCTGTCTCTTGCTTCCAGGGCCTTAGGACATATGTATTCCCTATATATATATGTATATACACTTTATTATATATGCTACTATATTATATAATATATATAATACACACAACATGTATATGAGGAATAATATTCCTATAATTTAGGAATATCCAATTAAATCCACATGCTGTTTTCACCACAGGATTTTTTTTTTTTTTTTTTTTTGAAGCAGTGGTCATAAAGAAATAATACCCCAAGTTTTTCCCAATAATAGACCAGAGTCTGCAACTAAATCTATACTGCAGCTACTTTTTAAGCCAGCTGGTGAAAGTGCTGCTCAACGGCTGTGCTGGTGTCAGCCATTGGCTTTATGGAAAAGTTCCTGGGGGAAAAGTCACTTTTTAAAGTGACTTTTAAATGCTTCATGTCAGTAGGAAATCTTTTTTTTTTTCATTCTTTCTTTTCTCCCCCCCCTACCCTCCTGATTTTGACTTGCATGATGCTAAATGATGAAGCGCAAAATTAGGAAGAGTTTCATTCCTCAAATGACATGTTTCGGCAGCATCCTAAATTTTTCCCAATTTGTCAAATTGCAGCTTTGGAAAATGAGCTCAGTTCTGCGAAGAGCTTCAGATTTCAATAAAATGGGGTATTTTGGCAGCACGGTATCTTACTGGCACTTCCCTGAGCAGGTTCATGTGCCAGTCCCGGGTCTGCGTGCCCGGCCACACTCTCCCCCCCGGAGAGGGGGCTCCAGCACCTGCCCCCATCCTGCCCATTAACCCCATTTTAAACCAATTTAATCCCAAGGAGACTGAATTTTGGTAGGGCAATTTTTTTTTTTTTTTTTTTTTTTTTTTGGTCATCAAAACCCTCTCATAGTAACAGATTACTTTGTTCCTTCTAGGGACATGGGTCACTTTTGGAGGCCAAATCTCAGACGAGGTAAGTAATACTTGATGTAAGTACACTTGATGTAAGTATAATGCATGAATTAAAAATCAGGATGAGATATTTTTAAATGAAACCATGGCTACCAAAACCAGAGGAGCTTGTTTCTGTACGAGGAAATGGCAGAGTTACTATGCACAGCAATACAAAGCTTGTGCTTCTGCTACAAAAAACCTTAATGAATCTGACATTTCCAGAGATCAACTTTAATAAAAACCCCATGTATCCCTTAAAGCGATCTTCTTTTCCATCCTGTTTGGAGCGATATTTCCTCCTTTACCATTGGCAGTGGCACCGCTCATGGAGCAGAAATTAGAAACTATTTTTGCATCATGTATGTAATCAGCAACAGTCATAAATACAGACAGGGGCTCGGCTTACAAGGAGCTGCCTGATGATTTATTTTTTACATAATAAGATGAAACAAATAAAAATGAGCCTGGCTTTCCTACACACTCTTGCCCGTACCAGATGGCTCTTAATCTCAGTTAATAATCCTTCCTAGTGCTGGGCAGCACGTGGGTTTCCCTCCGTCTCAGGTACGCTGCAGATGCCAGTCATCAAAGGGAGAGCAACCTCCCAGCTGCCTGCCCTCTCCTCTGTGACAGAAACCCCAAAATAACTTTGGCAGAAGGAAAACAGCCCAGGAGTCTGAACTCAAAGGGCTATTTTTTTTAATTTTTTTTTTTTTCCTTGTTAATTCACTTTGGTGGTATTTCTTCCACTGATGGTGGATCCCTGAGTTAATTCCTGTTTCTTGACGTCTCAGGCTGAAGTGAGATGGCTTGTTTTGATTACAAAGTCCCTCCCTGGCTCTCCTGCCCTCCTTGTTTAGAATAAGTCAATCCAAAGTGTTCACGCATGGAGAAAAAGGACTGAAGTGCAGCCCTGTCCTTGAGGGATGCCCACCCTTAGGCCGTTGGCCGTGCATGGGTGCCCTGGCCGAGCACCCACCCCCGGGGTGCAGAATCCCCCCAGGGAGCGGCGGGGCTCTGATGGGCATCACATGAAATGACCTTCAGCTGTTTAAATACCCCATGAAATCATCTGGAGAACTGCAGGACAGTTGGGTAGCCAAAAAAAAAATGAAATTAAATTCTTGTCGTGGAAAATACCCTTTCTGTGTTGGACTCTGCGGATTTGCAGGGTATCTTCTACAACCCTATTAAATTCTTGGCCACTTTCCTATTAGAAGGTTTCTGTGAGAAGAGATTAATTCCTCCCGGGATGAACCAAAGGGAAGTTGATGTAAATCTGTGTTTTGGTGCTTCTTGGGCCAGCTCACGAACCCCTGGGTGCCCTGCCAAAGCGTCTCACCCCCAGGGCAGGGGATGCTAACACCCCTCCCAGCCCTCCTGAAGCCCCTTTGCTGCACCTTCAGGGGTTTGTCCCCGGGTGAGACGAGCCGCTGGCCGCTCGGGACGCGGTCTGCCACCCCTCACCTCTCCGTCTCTGCTTCCCCGAGGTGGCCGAGCAGCTGATGACCATCGCCTACGAGAGCGGCGTCAACCTCTTCGACACGGCCGAGGTGTACGCGGCCGGCAAGTGAGTGCCCTGGGGTCCCCCCGCCCGGCTCTGCTCTTCCCTGGGTCACGGTCACCCCGGGGGTGGGTAGGGCTTGGGAAACCCCCTCCTCCCCAAGGGGGAACAGAAAATCCTTTGTATTTGGAAGCACTCAAAAAAAAAAAAAAAAAAACAAAACCCCCAAACAAAACAAAACAAAAAAACAAAAACAAACCAAACCAAAACAACAAAAAACCAAACAACAAATAATAAAAAAAAAAACAGACAAAACAAACAAACAAAAAAAACAAAACAAAAATAAAACAACCCCAAAAACCAAACCAAAAAAAAAAAAAAACCAAAATAAAACATCAAAAGCTTGTTGTACCCAGCTGAAGACTGAAATCTATCACTGTGCTGTTGGCACAGGGAGAAAAATATCCTGAATAAATGAAGTCAGCGCGCATCTTAATGGTGATGAGTGGCCGGGGGCAGCGACAGCTCCCGGCACGGGGAACCGCTCTGGAGAGCTGATGCTCTCAGTGTCACTGCGGAATGGGGTGGGGGAGCAAAAAAATATCCATCCCGAATATATTTGAGTTTGGCTGGTTTGTATGGCTCTGTATTTGGTGTAAATGTTGGACCGGGCCATCGCGTCCCCGGTGCGGGGACAAAGCGGCTCTGCCTGCGCGGAGCGGGTTCAAGCAGACGCAAAGCAGGAGGGTGGAGGTCTGTCCCCACGGGAATGGGGACACACACACACACACACAAGGTGCTTTGTGCCACTGGAGGGGACCGTCCCCTGTGACGGGGCTGTGTGCCCACCCCGTCCCAGCTCGTGCTGGGTCACGGTCACCCGGGGAGGGGAGGGCAGAGCTGCGGGGGCCGGGAGCTGGCGTGGATGGAGCTGAGGTCCAGCAGCCCCGTGTCTCCCCTCACACGGGGCCCTTTCTCTCCCGCAGGGCCGAGGTGATCCTGGGGAACATCCTGAAGAAGAAGGGCTGGAGGTACCGTACCGCTGGCCGGCGTTCCCCACCACCCGCAAACCTCGCGGGGGGAACCCCCCGGGGCGCAGGAGAATCCGCCGGGTTTTTACAAAACGAGGCGTGTTGGGGGGTGCTGGCCCAAGGCTGGGGGCTGCCGGTTCAGGGCGGTGCTGCTCCTTTCAAGCACCAAACAAAAACGCTCTCGTGATTTTTTGGGGTGGGTTTGGGGGGGGGAGCTCAGACGGTGGCTTCACGAGTCTGCGGCGCCACCTCGACCACGGCACAAAACCGCCAGCCCCGTGCGCAGCACAATTAACACAACGGGGTGTCGAGATGGGTGATTTGGGTGCCAGCATCCTTATCTGTGTACGTAAGGCTGTGTATTAAAAATGCAAAGCCGTGATGGGCCTTCATTTCGGGTAGCCTGGTAGGAGACGATACCTAATTTAAATGATGCACATTAGCATATGTTGTGTAGTTTTAAGAGCATTTCCATAATCTTTAAAGGCTTCCCATGTGTGCCATATTCAGCCTTCAGCTGAAGAATGGGTTCTAGCAGCGCTGTCTCCAAAATCAGTATCCCCTGTGTTAGGGGAATGATTATCCAGTAAGAAACATTCCAGATACTGTGGAAGGAAAAAAGTTAAGTCTAGCAAAAGCTGCAGAAATTGCGCGTTGTACGCATGCAGTTATGTAGCAAGGTAGTTTGCAAATGTTAAATCTTTGATTTAATATCACATGGGAATTTACAGATTAATTGAGTGAATGTATCACCCTTGGAGTTTTAATATCTCTGGGAGTGCTGCATGATAATGAGCAGCCCTGGACTTGGATACCTGGAGAGAACAGCGCTGTAGCCCTTGGTTAAGCACTCTGGAGATTTCTTACTCCATAATTTAAAATGTGTCTGTCTTTTTTTTTTTTTTTTTTTGTCACTTCACTTGAATTACCTTTGGTTTCTGGACCCCAGCCTACGGTCGCTCCCTCCAGCAGCGGCCCTGAGCGTGGGAGGAGACGTGGCCTGTTATAAAAAGGATTATAGTGCTGCTCAAACGCCTGCGCCGAGCCCGGGGCTGTGAAACCAGGCAGGGCCACTGCTTCCCGATGGGCAGCATCCTGCTTGCTCACTTAGATCATGATTATTTTTTATAATATTTTTAACTATTTTTAACAATAGTAATTTTTCTGTTCTGTTTGCAGGAGGTCCAGCCTGGTCATAACCACAAAACTCTACTGGGGTGGAAAGTAAGTCTCACACTTACTGGTAACGGTGTTTGCTGCTGCGTGCTTTTCCCTTTTACAGCTGTACAACCAGGTGGAGATTTATGGCACCTCGGAGGGGTGGTGTGCTGCTGTTATTTCCTTTCTTCTCATTTTGCCAAGTCTTTGAAGGGGTCGGAGCTTGGCAGGGAGCATCAGACAGGAGCTTTACAGTCAGGCAAGACCCATAGCAGGGCTGTTACCGTGTTAAATTGTTACAAACCACGTTAAAACCCGTGGCATTACTCATCCCAGACGATGTTGCCTTTGAGATTGGGAACACAAACGAGGTTCAGGGTCTCTCTGTTGCGCAAGCTGTAGCTTGGCTTTTGGGATGTTTAAACCAGCACCCCGAATGAGCTGTCGCCGGCTGTTAGCACCTCAGATCTCTGACAGCCGTGTACCTGTTTTCGCTTTGCAGAGCTGAGACGGAAAGAGGCCTCTCGAGAAAACACATCATCGAAGGTACGTGTTGCACGGGGTGGGGGTCTGGTCGTGCCCGAGTCCCTTGGCGTGGGCACGGTGGGATGCAACCACCCAGGGGTTGCTCTCCCAGGAGCCAGGGCTGCTTCACCCCGGCGCTCGCCGCTCCCTTGGGCCAGTTCCCAAGCTTGCCTGTGAAGGGTCCACAAGGCATCAAAGGAATTTTATTTTTTTTTTTCCGACTCTTCTCCAAAAAAAAAAAAAAAAAAAAAAAGCCTTCTCTGCTGGACCTCCACGCAGCCATAACCTTTTGGGTTTTTATTTCTTTGGGCTGTAATAAGCAAGGGTGTTGCCCTAGGCCGGCTGCGTGATTGCAGATTTGCAGATTTATCTGCAAATTTGCAGATTTATCCCTTACCTGCAGCCATCGGGGTCCTCACTGAGCCCCGGTGATGGGAGGCAGGAAGGCTCCGTGGGTCTGGAGCTGCTCTGCTGACCCCTCTTTCCACCCCCCTTCCTTTCCTGGGCACCGCAGCCGCGTGGGCTCCCCCGGAGCAGGGAGGGATGAGGATGCGGGGCATGATGTCAGCTGGCAGAAATAGCCTCTGGAGGGGTGCCAGGTCCCATCCCGCTGGCTGTGGTTTGCTCTCGGCGCTGTTTCTTCTCTGGTGCTCGATATTTTTTGGGGGGGTTGTTGTTGTTCGTTGTGGTCGTACATCCCTTCACCCAGCTCCTTGCAGCCTGTCCCACACCCCACGGAGCGATGCCGGGCGTTGCCTTACTCACCCTCTGGGATTTATTCACCTCGGTCTCCGCTGGGTTCAAGGCGTGCTCCTCAGCTTCCTTCCAACTGCTTTTTTGTTGTTGTTGTTCTCTCGGATATATTATTGTTGGAGAGGGAGTGAGAGCACATACATTTTTCTATACAGATAAGCACGTTTCACCTGACCCCGCTCTTTCCAGAGCGCTGCTGGGTCTCAGGTCGGGCGCCCAGGCGCAGTGACCGTGGGCATAATTATAACTTGCACGGGATTTTACATGCAGGATACAAATAGGGCAGTGCCCATAAAGACATATTTCTGTCCTATTACGGATTAGCTGTTTCAGCTAGGGTCTTATCCCAGTGAGAGGCGCCAGCCTGGGCTGGAGCAGACCCCTAAGCCCCCGCCCCACCCCGTACAGATCACGAGGTGGGTCCCAAACCTAGAAAAGCAACCGGCAGCGTGGGGGCCTGGGTCTGTCTTTTACATAAATCCCGAGTAAAAAAAATAGCATGGGTTTGGAGAAAAGCTGTATAAAGCAGTAGAAGAGGGTTCCCTGGGATGTCAGGCTCCTCGGGGGCCGGGGGGCTTTGGGGCTGAAGGGGGGAACATCAGATCTCTGCGGAGGGGTTCGCACCGCCCGCGGAGTAAACCACAGCGGCCGCAGCAGTGAGAAGTGGTTCTCGTTATTGCACGGCATGCGCTGGGGTAATTAGCCTCCTTTTTGATTTATGAGATAAGCCTTAATTGTTTACAGTGGCGGTTGGTTAAGCTAATGTTTGCTGCCAAGATAAATTAGGAAAGAAAAATTCGGGCTCATCTACATTATGGGTTTGATGGTGCTGGGGAGGGGGGGACACACACACACCAGCTTGTTCACACCTCAGAGTAGGTGGGAGGTAAGGGCTTTGGTCTTTGCTCATCAGAAGGTCGCATTCCTCTGCAGAAAATCAGGTTTGCCCACCCAAAATGGCAGTTTTTAACTTGCCTTTGGTCGTTTGTATGTTTTTTTTTTCTCTGGAATCTGCAATGGCCCACTTGTCCCAGCTCTCAACCACCAGGATTTGTTCAGGAGACATTAAACTGTAGATTATATGGAAAATATATATATATAGTAATAATATTATCCACCCCTTGCCTGGGGGGTCACTGCCACCCACCTCACACCCTGGCTAATACAGCAGGGACATCCCAGCACAGCCGGTTCTGCCTCACAGTAACCAGCTTGTACGTCTGGGATTGTCCTGGAAAATTTTAATTATTTAGAATTTGCAGAATTCCGCTACGTTAGGATATGACTTCAATATTAAGGTAATACTGGAGAAAAATTTTCAGTAATATTTTATCGAACTTTCATTTGAGTGACCCCCCCCCCCATAAGAGGGTGTCCTGGTCGCTGGCAGCACCAGACCCAGAGATGCTCGGGGAAGTTGTGGCCATGTCACGGGTGGCCCAAACCCATCCATTTCCCATTTTTTGTGGAGCTACTTCATGAAATGACAGAAAAATACTGGCAGCAGTTGAAATAACTTCACAGAACACATAGCAAATAATGTTAAGGTCAGTGATAGCTTTTTTCTATAAATACTTCTGGCAAAAATGGCCATTTTTTTCCATCCTAAAATTCAGCGAACGTTTTCAGACTGCTCTATTTTGGCTCATTCTTCATGAACATTCATAAAAACATTTTGTTCCTGGGAAGATTTGTAGAAAATAAGTGTTAGAAGTCCTCTTCCCTCTCTCATGCTCACACACACACACATATATATATATATGTGTGTGTGTGTGTATATATATATGTATATATATATATATATATATGTAGGCTTCGATGCCCTCTCCCATCAGATCCTCCTGGAGAAGCTGTGGAAGCCTGGGCAGTCCTGGACTTGTAGCTGCCAAACCAGTGCCTTGTCTTGCTCTGCAAACCAGTGCCCGGTGCAGAGCACTGGTGGGCACAGCTTGCTTACCCTGCAGAGGGGGCAGAGCTTTCCACGGTGCTCTAGCTGCTCATCGTAACGTATTTAAGCAAGCGCCACCATCCTCCCCTCCGGGTTTGCGTTTCTGGGAGGTGCCCCTGGGCCAGGGCTTCCTTGGGTGGGACAGGACCGAGGCGATGGCACGGGAAGGCTCTGTGATAGAATTTAGATTAAATTAACTCTGAACTGGAGGACGGCGCTGAGGTTGGTCCCTGGCAGCTGCCTCCTGGCAGGCTGGCCACGGACAGAACCAGGGTCTGTTCCAATCCAAATCTCGGTGTAATTCAATAAAGCAAATTCTCATGGAAGGTGGGGATGGGGCTCTGCCTGTGGCCAAACTGGTGTTTTCTTCTTAATACGGCTGCGTAGATACAGGACGTTATGCAGCATCCTTCTCCTATGCTATTTGGTTGTGTATTCGTATAATAAATATATATAAGTATATAAATACAACGAGCTCTATTTGCGTCCCGACGCGGAGCTGTTTTGTACCGCACCGTGCCGCCGTGCTCTGACCACACAGAGTCTTGTCTCCGCTTTGCTGTTTCCAGGGCTAAAGGCTTCTCTCCAGAGGCTGCAGCTGGAGTACGTGGACGTCGTCTTCGCCAACCGGCCAGACAATAATACCCCCATGGAAGGTTAGTGGAAGCTTGAATTAAAGGTTTTAACGTGACTGATGATGGTAGGAAATGAAAAGCAATTTTTTATTAAATATTCAGGTGGCGCAGCTTAAATATGAAATACTTCATCATGATATCCTGGAGCCCTATATATTTATACTTCAATTATGTTAATTTATATCTTTTAGGAGGAAGTTTAAGTTTCCTTTGTGTCCCAGTGGTGGTTTTAACGTTGTTTGTTTTTTTTTTTTTTTTTTTAATTTCCTTTTTTTCCTGATTCCTTCAGAGAAAGTGAACTTGGGTTTGCATTTAAGGCAGGCCTTCTTGGTGTCAAATGAAACCTGTACCTCCCTACCCCTGGTGCGGCCAGCTTGAGAGAGGGGGGTGTCCCGGTTTGTCCAGTGGGGACACAAGGGTGTCCCCATCCTTCTCCAACGTCCCCTGGGCTGCCCGGATAGCACGTGCTTCTCCCAGCAATAAAACCAGGGGTGCAACCCAATGCGTGGTCAGAAATAAGGACCAGCTGGCGAGCTGTGGGGCCGGCTGCCCCCAGTGCATGAGCAGCACAAGCTGAGCCGCCGGTGGGGAATCCAGGGAATTCAAATGAGGAACTTGCAAGATCTGTGACTACCCGTGCGCTTTAATTATGTTTCGTGGTTGCTGATAACCACGGATTGTGTGTTTGGTATTAGCCCCGTTACCCAGGAACCTCCATCAATATGTTTTGGGGTTAGTGCCCTATTTAATGGGCACCAGTTCCCATTCCTTCTCTTTTCCCATCGGAGTTAACACAACCATTCACACTGTGGCAGAAGATTAGCTTCACAGCTAAATAAAGAATAGCAAGAAGAAAGACTTGCAGGCTGCAGAAGCTGTCATAGACGAGTACATGTAAATCAAACAAACCTGGAGCTTGACAGGCCCTTTCGAAGCTCCTGGCTTGGCTTTTGGTGCTCGTGACAACTATTTTCATAACGAACGCGGGGCTGGGCGACCCGGCAGGACCCTCGGGGGGATGCGGTGCCGCTGCACCAGCTGCGGGTCCAGCGACCTGGCCTGGGATTTTAGGACCAGCGTGGATTTCGCTGCACCTGACGAGCTCAGGGAAGGACGGCGTGTTGTATCTTGGAGGGAGGAATGACCTCTCTGCTCAGTCAGGTGTCACCTAACGAGGCAGTGCTGAATATATTTCCCGTGCCCGCGCAGCACGGCTGGTCTCAGGCGTTTGCAGCTTTTAAGATGCTGCAGATACTCCTGGCAGCGCTGGAGCTTGGCGGTGAGGTATGAACCACGGCGCTCGGTGAGATTTTTGAGCAGGGTGAAAAAAGGGACATTTTTTTATTATGAATGGTGTGGCGTTGATTCCTTCTATATGCACTTCATGCTTTTTTTATGGTTCACCTACTAAGCCACTTCTATCCCAGAGCGTCTGTTGAACCATCTGTCGGTTCTGCACTATCTGGCATGCACAAGAAGCGCTGAGCTACCTTCACAAGACACAGTCCCCACTCCGGCTCCTTACGTGCCTGTGCTTTTCCCACGGGCAAATAGCCACTTCTGAGGGAGAGCGATTTGTAGGTAACCTTAAAACGTTCCCCACTTGGGCTACTCCTGCCAAAGGGCGAGGGTCCCGCTCGAGCAAACGGCGTGGGTGAGGCGCGGCCAAATAAATCAAAGGAGAAACTTTGAATGTTCACTTTGTTTTCTTCACCGGCTGCATGCAGGCAGGTGAGGTTCCTCTGCTGTCACTCGGGGCCCTCCGTCTCCCGTGGTGCGCGTGTCAGGGCATCGGCAGGAGAGGGATCAGCTCTTCGAAACGCTCGTCTGGTCCAGCCCAGCCAGAGCAAAATCGCTTCCCGCTCCCCCCAGGCTGCCTTAGGAGGCGTGGGTAATGGAGAGCTAATAAGAGAAGATCAGCATTTCATACACATTTCATCGTTGTAGGTGACTGTGGTCCCCAAAGCGGCAGGCGAAAGCTAAAAATCAGACGCATATTTACCTTTCTTAAAAGTTAAAATTCAAAAAGCTTTTCATCATAAAATATTAGCTTCGAGGAACGTCTGGGGATGAGTCTCAGATGCCCCTCGCGTCGCCCTGCCATGTCCCTCCTCTCCCTGGGGTTGCTCTGGGTTCTGCCACCCTCGCCCCGTCCCCCGGCACGGGGACCACTTCGGGAGACGGGTGATGGGAAGGATCCGTGCTTCTCTCCTGCATTTCTGCGGGTTTCATGGCTCGTTCCTCAGCCTGGAGCGGGGTCAGACCTCCAGGTTGAGGAATGAGGCATCTGACCCCCCACAGCTGTGCTGGCAGATGCTTTTTTTTTTTTTTTTTTTTTTTTTTATCTCGAGCAGCTTTTCCAGCAGAGGAGTGGGGCTACACTGGTGAGACCCCCCCACCTCATTGTCACCGTGCCGGGGGACCAGGCACCCGCTGCACGGCCAGCCCCCAGCCCTGGCAAGCAGGGAGGGACGCGGTTCCTATCAGGCAACTTTAAGCTACTTCAAAATGATTATTATGCTGCTGGAGGCTGTTTTCTGGGTTTTGAAACAGTCATTTACATCTAAAAAAATCCCCCCTTCTTAAGTGATGCCATTTGTGCCATCCAGCTGGCAAACCGAGCGATCCAGGCACCGTGCTCTTCACAAACCATCCCATCGCCATGCCCGTGGGAGCGGTCTCTGATAAACAAGAAGATATACATATATATATATATATATATGTATTTTCTGAGTTGACTTCAGTTTTTCTTGAAAGGAGTAGAGGTGGAAGAAATGAAAACAACCCTGGACTGAAATGTGTAAGAGGCGTGTGATGAAATGCTCATCAAAATGCCTAAATGGTGGTGCGGCAAAAATAGAAAACTAAACCCAGTGAGAAGCTGGAGCTGCCGAGGAGGGAGGGAGGGAGGGAGGGAGGGAGGGAGGGAGGGAGGGAGGGAGGGAGGGAGGGAGGGAGGGAGGGAGGGATTGCTGTACAGCTGCCCGTGGCACACAGTGCGCCGGCGGGTAGCTGCTTGATAACGGGGCAGTTGGCTGGGCTAGTACCTATGCCCTAGAATAAAATGCTTAGAAACAGAGAAAAATGTGGCTTTGGCCAAAGCAAAGAAGGAAAAAAAAAAAAAACCAAACAAGATCTGGCATTTGAACTCTAGCCTTCATCGGGTTAAAAACTCCTCAAGCCAATGTTTCCTTCGAGAGGAAATCTCCCTTTCCAGTGGGAAGGCAGAAGCCCGGCGCAAGAGGCACGGTGTCTCTTGTAGAGCCCTCCGAGGTTATAAATGGAGACTTCATCATCTCTAGCTGCTTGTCGCTGCCTGCAGAAGAAATCTCACAATAGCTTCGAGATTGGCGGTGTAATCTCCCCTCTGCCAAGCTCCTTTTTTTTTTTTTTTTTTTTGTTTTTTTTTTTTTTTTTTTAATTTCCATAAATAGGACGAGAATCCTCATGATATAAAAGCCAGCTCCTCTCGATCGTGAGACAGCGATGCCCAGAGTCATTGTCCAAGTACCGGGGGCCAAGGGATGGAATAGAGACGTGGGGCTTCTCCGTGCAGCCCCGTGTCCGAGCGGGGTTGTTTCCCTGCCGTTCCATGGGTCGGGAATTCGTGGTGTCGGGGTAGAGCGCCGGTTCCTTGCCGCTTTCCCAAGGGAAGAGCGCACCGAGATGGTGCCCGGAGACCTCGAGGCGCCTTGTGTGGCGTGGGGAGTGGTGACTAACTACTGTTTTCTTTTGCCTCTCAGAGCGAGTTTAGCCCATTTTTGCCCGTTCAAATGATGTGCTGTTCGTGGCTGGTGTAGTGCCAGTGCCCTGGCAGCCAGTGCTCGGCTGTGAAGGGCGGGGAGTGCCAAATTTCAGTAAGAAATACGAATTTATTACTGCGACCAGGGCACTTATTTATGCTCTCGTGGTTGCTCATGAGGACTGTGTCCCCGGGGCTGCAGATCCTGCCAGTCCCTGGTCCCAGCTCCTCCGCAGCAGCAGTGGGCACTGCCCCCCAAGATGCCACATACCCAGCAGGCTTGCTCCCAGGGATAAATCAGGCTTAAAAGTGAGTTATAAACAGGCTATTTTCTTTATAGTATTAGCGAGGCATCCTGCCAGGCTCTGTGACCTCCTGGGCAACCACTGGGGATAGACAATTTTTTCTCCTTGTCTTGCAAAGTTTATAATGTCTTCCCCCCTCCCCCCCCCCCCCCGCCACAGGCATGCAGGGCTGCTCAGCAGAGGGCTGATGGATGGAAATTAAAGAGCCTGTCCTGACACGTGTAGCCGTGCAGGCTTCCTTCTTCCCAAAGGAAAAGGAGGGCTTTGGGGTGACGGGGCTGAGGAGCTGCGCTGGGTTTTGCAGAGGTGCCGCCTGCGCCTCCCGCGGGCCGGGGGGCCCTCGACAGAGTTGGGGGTTCAACCACCCAGTTTTGCAGCTTCACCCCCAGCATCCTAATATTCCTAGTCAAAAGAAGCAGGACCAGATGTATGCTTTTAGTAAACAAATTTTAAAATAAATTGAATTTTTCTTTTAGTTTATTTTTCAACTGTGCTGCCCTCTTGTGTCAAATTTTTAAAGAAATCTTATCACAAGGCAGTTCTTAAACAACTGCAGGATAAATGTCTTACGTTCGCACTGTCAATGCATTTTCATCCGTGCTCAAGCAAGAGAACACAGCAGAAGTAGCATTTAATGCAAAGCTGCTCAGGCTTGTCAGCAAACCTGGCATTTTTAAGTGGCTTTGGGAGGATTTGGTGCTGAAACATTGGCCTCTGTGCAGTTCTCATACTTCTTTTTTTTCCCTCCTTTAGAAATTGTCCGAGCGATGACACATGTAATAAATCAAGGCATGGCGATGTACTGGGGAACGTCACGCTGGAGCGCAATGGAGATCATGGTAAAGTTGGTTTTTAGGAAAGCGTTGACATTTGCTAATTCTCCTTCTGCTGAAAGCCACGCTGGGACCTGAACCGCAAGCGCGTGTCCGGGCTGGGGATGTGTGTGTTTTACTCCACCCAGCATCTTTCCGCCTACAATAATTTTAAAACCTGTTTCAGAACGAGCCCGATGTTAATTAGGAGAAGGTGGGCTGGTCTGGTGGGCTTGGGGGGTTTGGGTGTCTTGACTCGTTCAATTGGGGTTTTGTGTCATTTTGGTTTTATTTGCCTGACTTCAAGACTTTCGGTAACGCGCTTGTTGGCTGGCTGTGCCCGGGGCCACTGGTCCCCTGTTGAAGGGAAACCCCCCCGTGCCCCGCGGAGCTGCTGCTGCGGTGGGAACAGTCCCCACGCAGGGGAAAATCCCCCGTGGGTGGCACCGCTCTGCGCGTGTCCCATCCAGAGGTGCAGATAGGACATACCCCTGCTCGCCTGCGGGGATATGTGCCCGCAGGTACCTGTGTTTACCCCCAAAATACCCTAGACTGGGGGAACCGGCATCCTGACAGCTCATCCTTAATTCGTTGTTGCCCAGAGAGGTGGTAGATGGATCCCTGGAAACGCTCAGGGTCGGGTTGAACTGGGCTCTGAGCGACCTGGTCCGGTTGAAGGTGGGAAGGGGCCGTGTTTCTGCCTCGGGTGTGCGCGGGGACGTGCGTGGCCTTGCTGAGGGACGGCGAAATTTCAGTCTGTCAGCTCCTGTATGCTCAAGGAGTGTTGGCCCGTAGGCTGTGTCCTTGCAAAACGTTTTTACTTCACTAAGTGTTTTTATCTACTGATTTCTTTTCTCCAGGAAGCGTACTCTGTAGCCAGGCAGTTTAACATGATACCGCCCGTGTGCGAACAAGCTGAATATCATCTTTTCCAAAGAGAGAAAGTGGAGGTTCAGCTGCCGGAATTATATCACAAAATCGGTGAGTCTGAGACTGCTGTGCCTTTCGGCTATTTCATTTGCGGAGAGAAACACGGGGCAGGCTGAGCTGGGGCTCTGGATGGGGTCAGCGCTCTCCTTCCCCGGATCGGAAGGGGACAGACAAGTAGATGTTTAATGACCTAAAAAAAAAAAAAAAATGGCTTACCGTGCCTCTGATGGAAATCGGTGTTAATTGCCACAGCTGCTTCTGATTTTTTGAGATCCCGTGGACCGTGGAGGTGCCACCTCTCCCCCGTGTCGAAGATGCTGATGCTTTTTCGGGCATCTCCTGCCTCTCCGGAGCAGCTGAGGACCCAGCTGAGAGGGGCCGGGTGGGAGCCGGTGCCCCTGCCAAGCAGGGCCAACGCAGGCAGGATGGTGTAAGGCAGGGATGATGGTCAGGATTGCAGGTACTTTGCTGCAGCACCAGCCCGGGGTGGGGCTGGAGGCTCTTGCAAGGACGTTTTGGATGAATAAAGCTGGTCCTAAGAGCATCAGCAGCATCTTCCTTGAAGACATCGACTGAACGTCACCACCAGCAGCAATAGAAACAAGCAGTGGTTCCTTTTCCTTTTCCTTTTCCTTTTCCTTTTCCTTTTCCTTTTCCTTTTCCTTTTCCTTTTCCTTTTCCTTTTCCTTTTCCTTTTCCTTTTCCTTTTCCTTTTCCTTTTCCTTTTCCTTTTCCTTTTCCTTTTCCTTTTCCTTTTCCTTTTCCTTTTCCTTTTCCTTTTCCTTTTCCTTTCTTTTCCTTTTCCTTTTCCTTTTCCTGTTCCTTTTCCTTTTCCTTTCCTCTCCTTTCCTCTCCTTTCCTTTCCTCTCCTTTTTCCTCTCCTCTCCTTTTTCCTCTCCTCTTCTCTCCTTTTCTTTTCACGGAAAGTCCTGGTTTTGATACAACTCTGTTTTCTCCCAGCCCCCTAAAACCTCCTTCTCCGTTTTCTCTGCAGGGGTCGGAGCGATGACATGGTCTCCACTAGCCTGTGGGATCATCTCAGGGAAATATGGCAACGGCGTCCCTGAAAGCTCAAGGGCTGCACTGAAGGTATTTTTGTTGTTGTCGTTGTTGCATGATTGAGAAGAGTTGATGTGCTGCTTTTGTGAGGGCAGGAAAATAGCAAAGGGAAAACGGGTCCCTCGTGAGAAGGCTGGCCTGTGTGCTGCTGTATTGACAGACCAGCTTGGTTTCTCTGGCAACCGTGCTCCAAATCTGGGTTCTGAAGCCGCCCGGGGTTCCCCACCGCAGCGAGCCGATGGCTCTGGGGGGGGGCTGGGGGGGTCACACGAGGATGCTGCCACCAGCTTTTACGTTGACCACGCACCAACATCGAGAAGGCACGAGCCCAGGGCTTCCGTCGTGCTCGATGCTCCCAGCTGATGTTAATCGAGGCAGCTCTTTTCAAACCCCCTTAACCACGTGGAGTGGGTAAAATAGATTTGGATGTTATTTTTCTGGACACCCCTGGGCAGTTGGGGTGGGAGCTCAGCCCCACAGCATCCCTCCGGGGAGCCCCACGGACAGGGGCAGACCCCCAGCACCCCATGAAATCTGGGGGTTCTCGGTGGTCCTGCCCTTTGCTGGGCAGGGCAGCAGCGATTTTTAACATGTTTTAGTGTTTCAGTGACACCACAGCATTTGGTTTCTCCCACGTTTATCCCGATTTTCTTCTTACTGGGGTGTTATGGGGTCTCCTCTCATATCACACCTACGGCGGGCATATTATTTAAGGGTTTAAAAAAACAGCAGAGCACTAAAATGTCACGGATTTGGGAAAAACCCCAACCAAAATGGTGTTTGAGCCTCTGTAACAGCTGATGGGCGAAAGCCAACGCTGCCTGACAAATGCCAGCAGACTGACGTATGTTCCTGTGCTGGTTTTTGCTCAGACTGGTGCTTTTTAAAGGAAAGATGCAGTCTACAGTGACTTCCTTACAAAGGGCAGCATTTTCAAATATGGTATTTCATTGCATGTGTGATTTTTTTTTTTTTCCCCTGATGATAAAATATATTATTAATATTTGGTAAAAGCTAGTGAAGCAGGTAGCACTGTAGAGAGGGATCCCAATTTAATTGATGAGAGTGAAGCAGAATCGAGTTTCAAATCTGGAACTGGGAGAACTGAAATCTCAGTTTCATTTCATTCATTTTCTAACCTCAAACGGCAATAGTAGATCTTGAGCAAGATTAGATGTTCTCTCACAATTTTTTGGGGGAGTCTGTGTCAAAATTTTCTCAAGTTGACTAATGCTTCACTATTTTTTTTTTTTTTTTTTCCCCTCTGTGCTGGGATCCAGTGGTTCAGAAATAAAAATGAGGAGGTTTCAGGATCTGGGCTGAGTCCATCAGTTGTATAAAGCCAGGGAGATACAGACGTAGGGTTTCACAGCAGACATCCTGAGCAAAGCAGTGTGTTATTCGGCCCCCGTTACCTCCCGGGGTTGGACATGCCTGTTTCAGAGTTGTTCATCGTTGCCTTAATCTTTCCATTTTGGAAGAGGAAAGCTAACGGCGGGTAATTCATCCCCAGTGCTACCAGTGGCTGAAGGAGAAAATCGTGAGCGAGGAGGGCAGGAAGCAGCAGGTGAAGCTGAAGGACCTGTCGCCCATCGCCGAGCGCCTGGGGTGCACGCTGCCGCAGCTCGCCGTCGGTAGGTGACGGGACCGGGGGGGGGGGGGGGGACGGTGGCGCCGCCGCTGCCCCCCCGGGCAGCACCCGGCCGGCATCCTCACGGCACAGACAGAGTCGGTGCCTGCCGGGGGTGTTGGGAGACGGGTGCAGGCAGAGCCTGGCGCCGACCCCCCAAGCTCCGGGTACTCTGTCGGTGCTCCCGTCGCTTGGCAGGGTGTCGGCGAACGGTGACGCCGAAGAAGATGTGCCGGCTTTCAAGTAGGACAAAGGGTGGCTTTGTCTTGGCAGCATCTATGGATCTATTCATTATTTAAAACATTTAAATGATTATTTGCTCTCTGGAGTTGGGGAGCAGAATGCCGGAAACAGGGGGAGGCAAGATGGGCAGTGCAACCCCTTGTTAGGAGGTGGCTAACGCGTGTCGAGGAACACACTTAAAGAACAGAAGAAAACATACTGTAGGATATTTTAAATGTCATGTACTGCTTTAGAGGTAACCCCTGGTCTGTTAGCTTCACACAAAAATAACTTTTTTTTTTTTTTTGAGAATTAAAGTTAAAAATTACTCGGGATTGTTTCTAGCATCACCCTCAGGCTTTGACTGATGAAAGGGCCAGTGTATCTTGGGCCATCCTCAGGAGCCCAACCCTGACCTGCCTGTTTCTCTGAACAGTCCTTCCCTGCGTGGAAGCCATCGGTTGTTTGGTGTGCTGGGCTGACAGACACGAGAGAATATTAGTTTTTAAAAAGAGCTGGGGTTTGGTTTGGTTGGTTGGTTGGTTTGTTTGTTTTTTTAATAATTACCTTTGTGCTGCTGAGAGGCAAGGCTGAAAAATACCACACGTGTCTGTTAGGAAAATGATCCCCGGTTCAAATAGCCAAGAGGTGAATCCTTGAGATTTGTGATATAGGGAAAAACCAAACCCCACAACTGGGACAACTGCTGGGCCAGGGACCAGGACCAGGTGGGATGCTGGAAGATCTGCTATATGGTTTGTTATCTGATCTGTGCATCTTCTTCCTGCTGGAGGAGTGAAGTGAAGGTTGAGACAATTTTTCAAAGAGATAGAAGCCCAGAGAAACATTAGGATTTGGAATAATGCCGTGCCGTGGAGCCTGTGATCCTGACCATCTTGTGGCTTTGTTCACAGCATGGTGCCTGAGAAACGAGGGGGTGAGCTCCGTCCTTCTAGGATCCTCCAACCCCGAGCAGCTGATAGAGAACCTCGGAGCCATACAGGCAAGTGCAGGTGGTGGTGGCACCTCGGCAGAGGTGGGGGGGGGTCATCTCCTGCTCAGCTCCCCGGGGCGGGGGGGGGGGGGGGGAAGCACCAGCACACCTTGACACCAGCGCCCTCCTTCTCCTAATAGAGTTTTAATAGTTCAGATTTTGTTTCGGGCGCCTTCCAGTTCTAATTAGGTACATTAATTAGGCAAACCTACGGTGCGTCACCGTGACTTACCACCGCGCAAGGTCGTCGTAGCCGCAGCCAGCAACAGGAGGGTGGCATCAGCAGGTTTAATATACCTGAAAAAGCCAGCGACCTGATTCCAGGACACGTTGTGATATATTCAGCACGAGGTCTTCCGCAGGGCACGCAGCACTTGCACCCACCTTAATTATTCTCCGTTGCTTTTCACAGCAAGAGCTGCCTCTGATGTTCTTGCCACCAGCTCGCTTTCCACCGCAGCTGAACAATATTGTGCTCATAAAGCTTAGGAGCACTTCTGTGACTCTCTCACACGATGAAGATACTACTGTAGTTTTTCCTTTAAGGCGGAAAGGTATTAGATGAACGCCTAAATATCTGTCACACAAAAAACCCAGAGGAAACGCTATTTGACAAAGTCTAGACCTAAATTTGGAAAAACCTCCACTGGAAGCTTGATTAAACATCGGTTTTCTTCTACCCCCAGGTCCTTCCAAAGATGACATCTCATATTGTAAACGAAATAGATAATATCCTGGGAAATAAGCCCTACAGCAAGAAGGACTACAGATCATAATGCAATGCATGAATTCCCTGGACTGCATGGTTTAAAAAGTGCTCTGTACAGAAGTACAGCCCCGAATTAATATCCGGTCATCAGAATCATTCAGCAGCTTGCTGCTCGGTGTCTACTGTCACTGGATCCTTCGAGATGTGTGCTGTTGCTACTAATCTGCAGTGAAATTTAAAAGCACAGTTGATCTCTCTTCTAACCAAGAATAATCTTGTATTTTCTTACCTTCGACTGAATTCATTAATTTTTACTTTACTCTTAGCACCTCATGCTTGTGCTGTGAAAAACACTTGTAAAGCAAAAAATAATTTATAACCTTCAGGTACTTGGTAATTAAAGAAGGATGTACAGATCTATTTTTTCAATGCAGAAAAGCCAGATACAGCTTAAGGTTTTAATAAAACCACATTTGAGAAATCTCAACTATGAAGTTTCTTCAGGTTAACAGATAGAAGGGGCAAGCTCAAATTTTCTCTTTTCTTTTTTATGCTGACGATATGCTTTAGATTCCGTTTGTAGTTGAATAAAGGATGTAAGACAGAGAATTAGTTAGAAATTAAGATAGCTCAACTCCTAACTATACAATTATTTCAGCTGTGGAGTGCTCCCGGGAAGTATTTCTGAGTACAAGCCGGAAGAGCACAGTTAGAAAACCCGAACATGCATGTCAGGATAATAGAAACAGCAGCTGTTTGCAAAATTCTAATTCTACATAAACCTTAAATCAAGAAATCCATAATAAAATATTGGGTTTTGCATCTATAGAAACCTGCCTCTACTTCTGCCTGCTTGTAGACAGAGCTATTGCAAATTTCAATATTCATGAGCTTTTAAGGATATAGATACTTATAAATATATATAGTATATAGCTACTGAAAAATAGCAGAAAAAATCAGGTATGTACTTTGGTGGAAGGCTACATTTGCTTTAACTTGTTCTGGAATCGGGCATAAGTAAACGCATAGTATTTTTAAGACATGTTTTAAACAGGTAGTTTTTTGTGAGCATTTCATCCCTCTACAGGAGTTGGTAGTAAGCATTTGTGTATTAATTTTTGCCCATCTTAAGAACCACGTCATGTTTTACCATGAGTTTGCTTTGTAAAACGCACCTCTGATTTCGGTAAGCGTTTCTCCCTCGTATTGAATCGCGTACTTTGGGCACGTCCTTCCTGGGGGTACAGCTATGTACAGTATTTGTAGGACCCTCGTGTTCTAGTCCCCTTAACTCCAGGATATCTTCACGTGGGCCGCGTGAACAGATACTAACACTTGAGTTGTCTTCTGTATTTAATCCAATGAGCTATGGTATGCGTAAATGAATTTAGCTGCTGTATATCCAGAAACGCAGTCTGACTTTGACTTCTGCTTGGACACAATAAAAGCATTTTGTGCATCTGATTTTATACTCGGAGACCCGTTACTAACATTGAGGTTGATTTTGAAACGGCAGTGTTTTACTTTGAAAATGGATATGTATCGTTTCACAGGGCAACGCTCATCTTCAGCTGTAATGTCGGGCAAAGGACAAGGACGGCGGGCCAGAGGAGTGGGGGCAGCGGGGCTGGCCGCGCACCTTGGAGAAGGTACCGTCAGGAGTTAGCCTCCTATGCTCTGTCCTACCCAGCACGCTCTGAACGGCCGCCTGTGATTATAGAATCACAGACCTCAAACCCCTCCCCAGTGCCCCCCCCTGCCCCGGGCAGGGCCCCCTTCCCCCAGCCCAGGGGGCTCCCAGCCCCGTCCAACCTGGCCTTGAACCCTTCCAGGGAGGGGGCACCCACAGCTGCTCTGGGCACCCTGGGCCAGCACCTCACCCCCCGCACAGGGAACAATTTCTGCCTTAAATCTCATCTAAATCTGCCCTTTTTCAGCTTAAAACCCTTCCCCCTCATCCTACCCCCACCCCCTGATCCAGAGTCCCTCCCCACCTCTCCTGCCCCCCCTTTAAGCCCTGGGAGGCCGCTCGAAGGTCTCCCCAGAGCCTTCTCTTCTCCAGGTTCTAAGTCTATAATGGCAAAATCTGTAACTTCTACAACATGATGCCATTAATAGCGGTAGAGTTTAGCATTTAACAGAGCAGTTGCTTCACTGATGTAATGAAAAAAGCAAAAGGATTGTCTGAACCCATTATAAAAAGCCAGCTAAAGCATTTTTGTTAAGCTGTGCCACGAAAACTGGCAGGTTTTTTCTTTATTTTGCATTTACAACTTTAGAGATGAATGAAGTGCATTCAAACCACTTCAGAAGTATTTTTCTTGGAGACACTGTTTAGGTTTTGTTCTGACTCCAAGTTACTTAAAAATGAGGAGTATTTGCAATGAAACTAATACATACACTGATTTGTGGAAGACTCCTCTATTCTGCAGGCAGAAAGCTAAGAAATCTACACACACTGCCTGTCCGTGAAAATACTCTTTTTTTTTTTAATTTTAAGAGCAGAAATACAAGAAATTAAATGACAAAAAAGCACCTCCTTTTTATTAAAACTTTTCAAGTTACAATGATAAATGGTGGATTGCCACTTTTTATGATCAGTGAGTTTGGCTCAGTCACCACACTGAGAGGGGAATTCCGTTACAGGTGTAAGTACAGCTGCTCGTGCTGCTGTGTAGCAGCCTCTTACGGTGTATTTGTCTCACCGTCTGTGGTACCATCGCACCTATGAAGTACCTCAGAAAGGTTACATTTGGTAACTGCTCACACACCATTTCCTTTCATTGCTAAGTAAAAAAAATTGATTAATTCAGTTATTGAATAATACCATGTAAAGATACCAAATGTAAATATAATTCAATTGTTTTGGATTCAAACCCTCCCCCCATACCCTCAAGAGGTTACACTATTAAAAAAAAACAACAAACCAAACCAGCAGTATTTCTATCCCACCCTTAAACTTTTGTATGGCAGTTCAACCATCTCACAGAAGTAAACTGTCTACTTGGATCCTGTAGATAGCAGAGCAATCAGTCCAGATGAAGCGCTTATAGAAAGAATATAGTTTCTGTAGGGAAAAGGTTAAGGATATATACTTGTAAAGATACCACTTCTTTTGTACAGAACGTTTAGTAGAGGTTTGATGAAAAACAAGGGATTGAAATGGTCTTCCTCTGTCGTTTTCAAATTGCAACATCATAACCTGAAATACCACTTACAATTAAGGCGGTAGCAGGATGCTGCGATGTCCTTAAAAATTAAAACACCCATGACGTTTAGCCTGTTCTCTTAAAAGTAGTTAATAAATACTGTTAAAAACTGCAGATCTTTAATATACGTGGCCCTGATTGGCAATACTTACTTCAGTAACAACAAATTTTATTTGTTAAGTTACTGAAATTAAACAATCCTGTAACGCAAGATCACCTGGCAATTAACACTGACGCCGTGTTTCTGTAAGAACAGGAGCTGCCTCCTTGTTCCACAATCACAACTGAAATGGCAAAGCTGTAAGAATTTCTGTCTATTGTCCAAGTGATATCCTTAAGACATCTTGTGTCAGACAAATATTTACATGACTAGGAGAATTTTTTTTTTGTAACATCTATTTTTATGTTAGTGTTTCTAAGCTGAGGCATTACACTGAACTGCACACATCAAGGTTAACCTCACAACCCACATGACAAATATAGCTACTAATAACAACAAAAAGGAGTAGGACTCCAGTTGTTTCAAGCGCGGTGATAAAGGATACACAGTGGGGTTGAAGTTCTTCAGCACAAAAAATGAAGCAATGATGACCAAGACCAGAAAGAGAGTATTGTTGTAGAAGATGGAAAAAGTTGTCGCTTCATAATCTGCAACTTCATTTTTCTTCCACAGAATTCTAGGAGCAAGCAGAAACCTTATTTCAGGCATATTTAAATCAATGCATAGCCTGGCACACCCACCATTATGAAGCGATTGACACCCAGGGGTGTAGTAAACCATGTACTGCTGCGCGGGTTGCAGCCAGCTTCTAAAAGATAGAGTGCAGCAAGAACTACCAGTCAGCTCAGGAGTTAGAGACAAAACCCTGCGTATACTAATCACTTGTACACTTAAGTGACTTTTGCTTGTTTTCCTACCAGGCACATCAAACCTAGCCCTTTGTAACTAACGCTTTTTGTGAGGTTGTATGTTAGATGTACCAGCCATGGCTTTTTGCCCCGGAGCTGACAGTTGATATCCTCACACCCAGCACGTAATGGGCACCTACTCTAACTGTTAAGTGCTTCCAGACACCCCTGGGGCATGGCCTGGGCATCAGCACCGCTCGGGTGGAAATCTGCCCCCTGACACGTGCCAGTCCTAACCATGAGGGGCAACAAGGACAACTGGCGATTAGCCGTGCAGGCCAGCATTTCAGAAAAGGAGCTGTTTCTTATTTCTGAGGACGGCTGTGGTGCTTACTCTTCGAAGTTACTAAGAGGCCTGTACAGTAAGTTGCTTTGCTTTGCAGCTCGAGGACTGAGAGGTTGCCTTATAGAATCTCACTGATAAAGGTTCCACTGTTTGAGACCTTTCATTAATAACTTGCCTCAAAAACGTTTTAGAGATAAACAGAGAGCTGACAATACAGCTTCTACTTACCAGAATACAGAAAAAAAGAATGTCCAAGCAACAGTTCCCAGTATTCTAGCAAGAGCCTTAAAGATACCAGGCAGTATTACAACAGAACAAGGAGGATTACCTTTCATCCTTCTCCTTACGAGACATCTTCCTATTGTCTGCCTCAGACAGCTTGCGAGTAACTTCTTTGGAAACAGCGTCTTCTCTCTTCTGTGCTACTCTGTAAGTAACACCATTTAAGTCAAAAAATAAACATAAACCCCCCCAGGGTTATAGAAAGTTGTATTTACAGTGAATAATGCTTCGCTGAGAAACTGAGCAGTTCTGCCAAGTTGAAGGAACAACAAGTAATAATCAAATTAATAAAAGTATTAGTCAAATATCATTTGTGGCAATACCTGCTGAAAATGAAGGTAGTTTTGCTACTTCACTGTCTAACAAATAAGGCTAATCTATTTCATAATTACAAGAGAGAGGACAGAACCCAATCAGGAGATATTTCTGTGTGAAATAGTTTTTGGAGTAACATTTCAGATGTTCTTCTTTATTAAAAAGGAAAAAAAAAAAAAAAGGTTGTAAATGCTGGTTTGGTTAAGTTACTTAGTAATAATTTCTACTTCAAATAGCCACCAAACTTACTTGTGTTTGAGAACAAACTTGACATTCTTGTATGCAAAAGCTACCAGATAGGTACTGATGAGGGTCATGACACTATACAGGACTGCGGACTGAACAAGATCCATATGCCATATCCTCCAATAAAGCCCTTAGAAGAAACACAAAAAAAGGACGTTTTGAGTGGTTTCTGTTTAAGAACAATGCCCCTACCAGTCCTACGCAGCTTACTACCTCTGTAATTCAGCACTGGCTCTGCCAGACCAAAGCCAGTTCCTGAAAAAAATCACTTGGGGGGAGCGGGGGTGTCTTCGAACTGCATCAAAATGTAGTTTGAAGCGAGAAATCGGCTTTGCTTTTGGCTGAAAGGGGCCTCGTGAGCTGGCCCACGTCAACCTCGGGCCAGCTCTAGGCAGCCGCCCCCGGTGACACGTCAGTGTTAGGCCAGCAGCTCGTCCATCTTTACCAACCCCAGAAAACCGAACCGGCTTTGCGGCTGGACCGAACACAGGACGGGGACAGACAAAACGACACCGCGAGGGGTCGGGGGGGGGGGGGGGGGGGGGGGGTTCAAAGCCGGCCAGGCCCAGGGACCGGCAGCGGGCCAGGAGCCCGAGGAGGGCTGTGGGGAGCCCCTAACCCCCCCCCCCCCCCCCCCTTAGGGCCTGAAACCCCACAACTCACAGCTTCGAAACCCCTCAGGGCTCGGCTCCCCCCCTCAGGGCTCGGCTCCCCCCCTCAGGGCCTGCTGCTGCCGCCCCCCGCCCCGTCAGGGCCCCCTCCCCGGCCCCCGCCGCTCACAGATGGGGATGGCCGAGACGATGAAGGCGTTGCCGAAGAAGAGCGCGGAGGACTTGGCGGAGAGGTTGCGGCTGAAGTCCTGCAGGAGCAAATCCTCCTCCGACTGCTGCCGCCCGCCCGGGCCGCCCTTGGGCGCCATGGCGGGACGAGGGAACGGGGGGGGTGGGCGGGGAGCGGTGCCGCGATCGGTTCCGGGTCAGCCCGCCGCCGGGGCGGGGCTGCCGGGGTGGGCGGCCGTTAAACGACGGTTAAGCGGCCGTTAGCGGCCGTTACGCCACGGCCCAGCTTAGTGGGGGGCTGCGGGAATTGGGGGGGGGAAGCTGCGGGAATTGGGGGGGGGGCAGTTTGCTGAGGGAAGCAGCGCTGCGGCACTCAGCGCGCTTTCCCGCGCAATTTTTCTCTGGAAAAAAACCAGCAAAAACTACCTTTTTCTCCCACAGAATCGGTACGGTTGTTGCCATGCTGTTCTTTGTGATGCGCCTTCAAGCCGGGTTATGCGCCGTTAAAGCATTTCTTTCTTGTTTTAACGTCTAGAAGCGTTCCCTCATCTCCCCCCCTCCCTCCCCTCCCAGCTTGGGGAGCCGCAGAAGGTGGGTCCCCACAGTTTGGAGTAAAGCTTCAGCAACAGTTGGTGGTCATAGCGGGTGGGAGCCCACGAAAATCGCGGGGTTTAACAGCACTGGCATCTTTGGAAGAGTGGGGGGCTTGCCTGAGCGGCACAGCCTGAGGGACCTGGGCCTGGGGAGACTGTAGCACCCCTTGTCTACTGGGACAGTGCTTTTTCCTTAATGTTTCTCACATATTTTGAGCATGCTATATTTAACAAAGTGTGTCTCTTTTTAAAAAAAATTATTCAAAGTCATTCTTGCCGCTTATTTCCTTCTGATTACTAATATTATTTGCTTGCGATGAAAGATAGGAGGTACATGTGATGAGGAAATGCTACCTGGAAATGAAGCTAAATTTATATATAATATAGTATGCATATTACATTATTCATATGAACTGCTTGCATATATTTTATGTATATAATATATATCCATAACATTTCTGAGGAGACCTTCGAGCGGCCTCCCAGTGCTTAAAGGGGGGACAGGAATGGTGGGGAGGACTCTGGATCAGGGGGTGGGGATGGGACTAGGTGGAAGAGTTTTATGCTGAAAGAGGGCAGATTTAGATGAGATCTAAGGCAGAAATTGTTCCCTGTGCGGGGGGTGAGGCGCTGGCCCAGGGTGCCCAGAGCAGCTGTGGCTGCCCCCTCCCTGGAAGGGTTCAAGGCCAGGTTGGACGGGGCTGGGACCCCCCTGGGCTGGGGGAAGGGGGTCCTGCCCGGGGCAGGGGGGGCACTGGGGGGGCTTTAAGGTCCCTTCCCACCCAACTTGTTCTGTGATCAAAAATCATAATTCGTTATGACAGAGTTTTCTAAAACACTTAAGTGTAGTAAGATTGTGTTTTGACCTCGTAATAGATTTCCATGACTAAACTGAGAGTGGGTTTTCATGATCCAAAGCGTATTGAACACAGGGTGCTAGTAGGATGGTGTCACTGATGTCGCACTATCTCCAGGCAGCTATGGGAGTTTCGCTTCTTCTAGCAAGACCTTCCCTCCTGGCCTGGAGACCCCTCACACAGCGATTCCCCAGCTGGGTGAGCCGACCCACCAGCCCATCGGATGAAGCGCAGGAGCTTCCACTACCAGCAGAAACACTCGTGAGTACCAATGGCTGGGTGCAGAGGGCAGGCTCTGAGCCACGGCCAGGACCCAGCCTGCCTCCCTCACCCACCCCCTCCTCCTCATCGCACGGGCTGTGGTACCTTCTGGCAGTGAGTAAGGATATCACCGCTCACGTACCGGCGATGGTAGGGCATTGCTGGGGAGGAAACAAGTGGCCTGTGGGATCTGTCAGCAGTGGTCATGTCTGTCTCCCTGTCGCTGCATCTAACCAGAATATATGGCTTTTCTCAGCCTTGATATTAGCTTAGGTGTTGTCCTTCATAGATGCTTTTAATGCTGTTGAGTGGTTGATGATGGCTCCCACATCTAATTGGATTTATAATGTTCTTGAGTTGTATATTCTCAAGTTCTAAATATTTCTGTGGCTGTCTTAAAATGGAAAAAAACTATGATTTGATTTTATTTTAATAAGGAATTCTGACATTTTTTTAAATGAAAAAGCATTTTATCTGCAGAAATCATTGAAGTCATCAGCGATGTTTTAGTGGCTTCTTACTTCAAGGTCTTCAAGCACCTAAAGGTGCATGCATGTATTTCACTGGACTTGCAAAATTGCCTGACTTTCACAGATTCACTTCTTTTTATATGAGTATATGTTACATGAAACACATGGATACCTCTCCTAATGTCTCTGTTCCTTATGCCCTGCCTCTCTGGCTTATACTACCTTGTTCTGAAATGGCTTCAGCTGTTTCTCACTGGCAGGAAACACTGTTTGCCTGTTAGAAGGCATTCTGAAATCTATACTAAGGATGGTACTCCCAACAGGAGAGCAGATCAGTCTTGGTTTCTTTGTAAAACACATTCAAGCTAAATGCGTGGTAGGTAACATTACTATTTGTTCAACGTTACCAATTGGAAGATTTTGCTTATTAAAGAACATTATTGGAGTTGTATAAAGTAGTTGAAAACCGTGGGAAAGAGTAAGTTTTACGATTGTTTCAAGATTCAGATGTAATCATTGACTCTGTTCTTGCACAGATTTCTTTCTTCCGCTCATTTGGGTAAATTTGTGTTGTGGTGGAATGTAATTAAGTCTAACTTTTTGTTCTTGGTTTGAGTTTACATGGGAAGGATGCTGTCATTCTGGAACAAAATCTGCCTGGTGACCATCTGTCTTTCCATTAAGATGAAGTATGACATGGATTTAGGCTGTGAAATGAAAGATTTTCTTGAAAAAACAAATGAGCACTTTGCTTTTCTAAAAATCCTGGCACTGGCAAACTGTAGCTTTAAGCAGAACACGGCATACAACGAAGCTGTCACTGAAGCTTTATATTCACTTTAAGTATGTCATAGTTGCTTCCCCAAAAGTAAATCGGGCCACCGATTTCTGTCAAAACAATTCACGTTTTTGTTTAAGTGCCTAAATCTGCTTTGTGCTGACTGCATCTTGTCTGAATGCTCATTCAGAAGCTATTGGGAACAGAAGGCGTCAAAATCTGAGGAACAATGGCTCCATGACCCAAAGGCAAAAGTTCTCCTGATAATGGAAATATTAATGCCGTTATCTTTGTAATTTACAAAGTATGTTTCTTACCAAATTTCTTTTGAAAACACAGAAGCAGTGATAAACATTCTGGAAATACAGGATTATCTTTACTGCTCTCTTTTCTCTAGATTTCTAAGATGGACCAAGCTGAAAATTTTAAATGAGGGCAGTGGTATTTCCCAGCAGAATTTGCTTTGTCTATTTTATTGTTGTCACTTACCCATGTGAAGCATAGGCTCCAAAACACATTTGCAGAATCTCCAAATCAGGTGATTAACAGTAGATAAGTCTGCAAAGTTTTATTTGTTATCTTCTGTGCTAATATGAATCTTAATGTCCCAGGGTCTCAGGACGGTTTTCATTAATATGATTATCTTACAAAAAAAAACAAAAACAAAACCAAAAACCCTCTGAGTCCATAACTTATTACTAGGTTTTTTTCAGTTGATTAATTCATGCCATCTCTTCCTAGGTGTTGAAATCCTGAAAGAATCCCTAACCTGCAGATGGGGAAATTCTTCTAGGACAGCAGAGATGGCGAGCAACCTCAGGTAGGTCAAGGACAGAACCAGAAAGCTGTCGTGGTGGCTCTTTTGTCCCTGTAACAGCGCCAGAAATAGGTGCCCTAGGACTGAAGAGCTACGAGTGTCTGTAGCTCTGGTAGCAAGCAGCCCCACAGGCCACCGAGCTGTTCTGGCCAGGGAATGGCCCCTTTCCTCCGGCACGACTGCGGCAGGGCAGCGCAGGAGCACCCGGGCTGCGTGTGGGGTGGGGGGGTGGGAGTTCCTAAGGGGGTGCCCGCGGTTACGCAGCTGTACTCCTGCAGCCAAGACTTGAACGTCTTGATTGTTATTGGTCGTGGGTTAGCAACTTTCTGAACATCTTGTTTATTTCTCTCTCTTTTTATTTCTGCACTCCATTGAGAGAATATATTAGAGAATCTTGTATAGCAGTTCTTTCAATCAACATTTGCTCTGTTACTTCTTGTTGTATAAAATTACCTTTCTGTCAGACTTTGATTACCCTTGCCTGGCTCTGCCTACCTAAACCCTTGGGAACACACAAAGATTGTTTTTGTGAGTAAGGCTTCTCAACTGTATTGAAAATTCTGTATCGCTTTGAGCTGTGGCTCTTCCTTGGCATAGCTCTGCTGAAAAGATTACAAGCTCTTACAGCCTGATGGTTTGTACAGTCCTAATCTAATTCAAATGCTCTTGATAACTGTTTTTCAGTTTGCAAAACCTGTGGAAAAAACTCCCCTGAGATTAATACATTATGTATGAACAGACCAAATAGGATCATTTTTGCTGTCTAGTGTTAATATTAGGACTTCCCAGTATTTCTTATGGCTAAATGAATTTCTCTGTTGTTAGTTACCGTGGTAGCTGACATCTTGTTTAACAGAAGAGTTTTTAAAAACCTTCAGACAGAAACATGTCTCTCAGGATGGTGATCACTCACATTCCAGCAGTAAGAGTTGACTCAAAAAGAAATACTGACTGGCAAGAATCCTCTCCGAGTCCCACAGAAAATAATATTTGTGATTAAAATACATCACCCCAGTGGTGATTATACCTGATCTCTGTGTTGTTGTACAATTCATGTTCATAAAAGTAACGCAGAACATTGTGTGCTGTGTGGAATTACAGTGCACACCCTTAATTTCTCTATAACAAAACAAATGTTCTCAACATGAACTTTGATACTCCCTCTCTGTTCTTTGCTTTTATAACATTAGTTTGTCAGGGTAGATTTGCAGAGATACATTTAAGAGATACCTGATATTTTAAAATTGTTTATTTCAGCCGATTATAGAATATCAGACAGCAATGAGCCCAGCTGTCTTTCAGAAGAGGAGAGTCATTTCTTTGATGTTGTCTCCAGATGCTTGCACATATTTTTTTCAATAGTACCAGTGGCGTATATTCTGTTATGCTTGGGGGTGTGTATGTTTTCCTCTTTTTAAGTTAGTCTAAAAAGGGTATTTTGCCTTCGTCCTTGTGTCAGTGTTTATTCTGGATTTGATGTTTTATTGTGGAGTTGAAGGATCTGTGCAGTCTCTTGCATCTTTCTCACTTCATTATCTATATGCTAGTACTGCGTGGATTTTAGTTTAAATCATACCACAGCCAAAGGAATGATCCAACTCCTATGAAAACACCTTTTTATTTTCCATATGCAACTACATTGTAAACCTACCTCCAAAGCTAAAGGATCAGCTTGGCTGACCTTGCAGCCATTAATTTTGCTGTCTACTTACCAGCCATTCTGGTTTTGTTTGCTTCTCTAAAAGGGGTTTTGTTAAGCACAGAAACAATATCTATTCTTTGCTTTCAGTAACCATTTCACTACCAAGTGCTCATGCGGTGATCACTTCCTTTTGCACATGTTTAATTGTTCCAGCTGAACCATTTCACTTTGCATGTCTGGAAGACCTCTGTCTGCTTTGTTGTTTTAGCTCAAGTAGTTCACTGAAATTGAGACAGTTTCCTACAGTGCAGATACAGCCTCAGAAGTTTGTGACTAAGACTTAATCTGGCAGCTCTCTGCTTCAGTTCTCCGGGGAAATTGTGTATTATTCTCATTTTGGCTAGCAGGAATCTGGACAGATTTCTTTCCATGTTTCCTTTTAAATCCCCCTGCTCCTCCCCAACACTTGTTAGTTGGGAAATAAATTCCATAGTTTTGAAAACTGCTAGGTTTTCATGTTCACATCTAAATCTGAATTCAGACTAACTTTCTCAATGGCATTCGTTCCAGTCAGTGGACTAAGCTATGTCCAAGAATTAAATTAGAGCAGAGCAAAAGCTTCACTATAGTTAAGATTGAAAAACCCCTTCTTTGTTCAGAATTGCACTCTTCTAATATTCTGAAATCCCTGTGTTTACTTGGCTGTGTTGAAATTTATCATGCAGTAAGGGATTAGTGTTCTGAGTTTTGGATCAGCTGATTGGGGATTGTTGAATTACAAAAGAAAAACCTTCTTTGAGTAAACACGCATGACACTCAAACTGAGCAGTTTGTTATCTTTATGTGAACTAGGTGGATGAAAAGCTTTCTGACTCTTGTGTGTGCTGTGCTTTTTTTGAAACGTTCTGTGGTGTCTGAGGTTTAAAATCAGCCATATAATTTGGCTGTATTATTTTTCAGCCAAATCAGTTCCTCGATGTGGTTTAGAATGTAGCCCCCAAAAGAGCACATCTGTCACAGCTGGAGGGGCAGTCTGGGGGCTGGTGCGGAGTAGCACTGGCTTGAACTGGTGTTGGCTTCAGATACAGTTTTGAGAGGATAGCTTTCTTATCTGGATATGAATTTAGGAAGAGTCTATGACTCTGCAAGGTCAGGAGAATGTCTGAGTTGTCCTTCTCTGTGTTAGGAAAGGGGAAGATAGTTGCAATAATCACTGAGGTGAACAAAGTAGAGTACATTATCCAGCACTGTTGCATGATGAGCTGTTTTCTTTTACCTTCTGAGAACATGGCATTGAAATAACGGATTGCTATGCTCACCTTTAATTTCTAAAAGATGAAACTTGCTGGATTTCTGTGACGCTTGCTGTATCTGAAGCGAGCTCAGTGTAGCATATGTGACCCATTTCTGGTGTCTTGAAATGGTCTCATCTGCTCCAGTTTCCTTCTTTAGCATTTTTAAAGTTTTGGTTGATAGGTTTTTCTGCATGTAGATGAAATTAATGAAATAATATCTTTGAATAGATTCTGAAGGGGATGGCTTGCTCAGCATTTATCCGAGATTGAGCATGGAACTGACCACGCTTTTGAAAAGCAACATCAAATGTAATATTTGGAAAATAACTAAACTTTACAGGTAAGAATTAACCCAGTATTCAAGATCTGGGGCATCTTTTTCTTAAACATCAAGGTCTGCTTTGAGATCTGCAGGCGTATCCTACAGATAATCCAAATAAAAGCTTCTGAAAGCAGGAAATAATAAAATAATGGTGTTTCATTACATTCTTTTGCGTATCTTTCACTTTTTTTTCCGGTTAACCACAAAATCCCCTGGTTTGAGTCCTGTGGAGGTTTGTGCAGACTGGTGCTGCATATGTATGTGATTTATATACTTTACAGCCAGCTGTGATCTGAGGATGGCAGTCAAGCTATTTGCTGTGTGGAGGCTTTCACCTGCTCAGGAGGACCCTTGGGGGGTGTACCACCTATCACAGAGGTACTGTAAGCCTTCTTACAGATCACTCTGGCCTTTCAGGGTGTGATGGAGAAAGGCAGGGTGAAAGTAGACCTGGAATTATGTGTCATTAATGCTTCAGCACAAGGGCTGCACTCGGGCAGGCTGAGGAAGTTGAATGAATGAGCCTTTAATATAAGCAGACCTAGCAAATTTTGTTTTGTGTGTAGAAGACAACTGGTAGGCAAAGTGAGCTAAGGGTGTGACTGCAGCAGTGAAGCACTGGTGTAGGGGCTAGGTTTGTTGTTGCTTCTTGGGTCCATCCATTCAGTTGCTGCCTGTGATTATATATTTAGGCGCAAAGGATGCCAGGCAATCGGAAGCAATCATTTAAATGTGGGATAGTCAGCTTGGTCTCTGTAACAACACGCAGATTAGAAGCAGTTCACACGTAGTCCCCACTCAAGGGATATATCAGGTGATCGGCAGTGGGATTTTGCTGGTCCAGTTCAGCAGTCTGAATCTCTGGTAGTGGGAGGAAGTCAGCCAGATGGGATTTCTGAGTCTGAAATGTGTCATCCTGGCACCTACCCACCCACTACTGCTCCATCCTTTAGCAGTGTAGGAGGATCTCATGGTGGCTGGTGTCACTTTTCACCTGTGAGTTATCTCTGGGGTTTCCCATTCCTGCAGCCTTGAGTTCGGCAAAAGCCTTCTGGATCTTAGCCATAGGAAAATTTTAGCATATGTTGTGTAGTCGGAAGGGTTGGCCATCCATGTGCTGATGGCTCCTAAAATGCCAATATCTGAAGCGAGAAGGATGAACTAGAAACTGAAGGTATCATGTGAAGAATGTTTGGATGTGTGATTAAAAGGGGTATCCTGACTGCTTCATCTTTTGAATGGTTATTTGTAATCACACGTAACAGACTAGCCTCGTGCATTGCAAATGTTTGAACTCATTGTGGTAATACCCATTTCACTATAATGGTCTGTACAGAATGGAGTATGTAGGAATGCTATCCAGCCAGCTTTAGAACTTGAGGTAATGGTTGAGCTCAGGTATAGTTACAAGTCTGGAGATGAGAGAAAATCTGATTAATACTGATACTGAGGATTCTGCAAGAGTCAGGCTGGGTGTAGCAGTGCCAGCACTGAGAAGGGCATCACTTCCTAGCCAGGACAGAAAGCTCTGACAGGATATCTGTCACAGGGAAGCAAGGCCCAGGTATGTGCAGCTGTGCTCTGCAGCAGCAGTGTTGGATCCAGAGAGCCTGGTGTGGAGCTGGACCTAATGAGTAGGACAGGAGCCAGGCTAAGGACAGACAGCAGCTTGGGTGTTTGCACTGGTCTAGTAGATCCAGGTTGGATCTACTGAGCTTAATGTAAAGCCTGTGTTATGGGAAAGCAGTTCAAAACTTCTGCAGTACAGCTGAACAGAACTGCTCTTAGCAGCAGTGTGGCTACATGTCTGTGGTGATCTTGAGCGTAGCGCAGGTTTGAGCTAGCTCTGGATAGAATTGATTTGGGTTCATTTACTTCATGCCATATTGGTGTAGATTGGAGATTAGACCATCCACAGAAAACAGAATTAGCTTTGTGTTTTCTAGCTAGCCTATCATGGCTAGACTCAATCTGGAACAATATGTTAGAGAAAATTCTTTCAAGTTATGTTTTTTTTCTAATTTAAAAAAACCTTAGGAAATGTGGGGGGAAAAAAAATATAAATTTTTCATGGACAGAATAAATATAGCAAGGCAGTATCCTGTACCCTTCCAGAATGCTGAATTTAGCAACACACAGACTGTTGAAGTCTAGAAATAAAGCATTTATAGTGTACTCCCACACAATAATTCTTCTGTCAAGAAATAATGTTTCAAATGCGTATTCTCATTCTAAAACGTAGAGCCGAGCATCTCTCCTACTCATAGTCACTTAAGGCTATTTCAGAGGAAGAACATCTGCTGAATATAGTAATCATTTTGCTGTTTTCTGCATGGTATTATCTAACGCTGTGGTTTTATTTATGTGTTCTGCAGACTCTCCATCCAGCTGCTCGCAGTACCCACATCAGGGAGGCTTTGGGAGTCAACACTGAGACAAACTATGCCGTGCGGTACTGAAGGAAGGCATGCAGGATTTCCAAGGCAATGTGTGCGTCTCTTCTAGTTGGTTGCTTACATATGTATTTGCCAAAATGAAGGACTCGCCCTGTTTTCTCCCAGATGGTTTTGTATCATTACTCAGGGTTAGACTTTACTGTGTTGCTACAGCTGATCTGGAACTATGCCTAGTCCGCTGGATGCGCGTGATATGTTTGTGAATAATTTCCATTATTATTGCCATTTTCAGGAGGCACGGTTAAGTTGGAGGATTTGAACGTTAACAGCATTTCCCGAGCTTCAGATTTTTGTTCTTAATCTTCTGCATTTTAGAAGAAAATTGTTGAATTTAGTGTTAGTTTCACTTGTTGAATTTAGTGTTAATTTCATTTATGTTTTTTTTAATTTGTGAGTGCTGCTGTTTTCCTCCTTGCTGTTTGAATCATACAGAGCTTGGGAGAAAGGGCAGGCAAATTTATAATACCTCTCCCTCTTACATTGTAAGGATTGACTTTTTCAAGGGATGTCTGCAGAGATCTTCATTCACGCCTTCAACTTTTCAAGAGTGTTGCAGGTTCTTGTAGAATCAGTGTTTTATTGGCTAACTAAAGCTCTCATGAAGGTGTGCTACGGTGAGCAGCTCTTAGCTGTTTTTTCAGATGTAAAATGCTATGGTACTGTTACCTTCCAGGTGTCCCTTTATAATCAGGTGGAATTTTTGGTTGAAGAATGGACATTTGCATGTAGGTAGTAAACTGCCTGTCTGTTAGGTAGAACTAGCTGTTAATTTTAGAACGGTTTAAATTTTAGTTGTCCAACACTGCCTTATAAAGGAACGTTAAATTGGAGTCAGCCTAAAGGAGAAGGAACAAAGCACTGCCATCCACACGTTACTGCTTACCTCGTGGCAGGATCCATGGGGTCCAGAACCATCAGCGTTTTAGAATCAACCTTCAAAAAAATCTCAAAAGTTACATGATATTAGATAAACCAATCTGTGTTGCTCATACTAGTTAAGGATGCACAGTAAGTGTTGCCTTGGCCTTCACTAAACCAACATGGCTTGTACTGATGTAGGAGAGTTCCACAAGAGGGTGCACCCGTTCAACAAAATCCTGTGTAAACCAAACCAGCGAGTCCCCATTGTGGGCATATTTTCTATCATTTTATGTATTAACTCACGTATCTGAACTTTGAAATTGGACGGATGCTTTAATCATTAGTGCCCCAGAGTGTCTCTGTGGTCTGTAAGAGGGACATGGACGGGTACATGATGCTCTGTGGGTGAGTCAGGAAGTTTGATGTTGAACCAAGGGGTACTGTTTTCACCAGGCCCATTCACAGCGATGAAAGGCTGTCTTCAGACTCCGCTCACAAAATGCTATTCAGGTATGTGAGGTTTTTTTAGTGTAATGAAACAAGCTACCTGTTCCTAATTCATGCCTAATCCATGCAAATGTTTGCTACATGCATTTTAAGAATAAGGTTTGGGGATTTTTTTTTTTTTTTTTAATTCTGCAACATCCCTGATTTTTCTCTCACACTGGTACAACACTGGATATTACGGCTGCAGAAGAAAATGCCCATCTAGAAAGACAACTTCTTGAGAGACTGTTGACTTGAGTGTGACTGATACAATTTTTCTCTGTTTCTATTTTGTGATAAAATTATTTCTTGTTTCATAAGATAGACGGGAACTCTTAGTAACGCTTCAGCTTAAGTTGTATAATGTTACTGTACTGATATGCTAAAAGCATTAAAGTGTTCTGCTGCATGTGTAGGCCAAAGTTCTAGGTCCATTCCTCAATGACTGCAGTCCTAGGGTAGTAAGATATCCCTGCAGAAATGATTAACTATAACAGATTTTCCAAGACAAGAGCCCGCTTTTGACTGATGTATTCCCTGTCCAAATACATGAATCATAAATCAGTGACAGAGATAAGATTATCAGATAGTCAGCAAAATAACTCGAAGTGTGGTGATATTCATATGTGTAATATATGATTCTTTTTTTTTTTTTTTTACGAGAAATGCTGTTTTTGCCAAACTTTCAGGTTTTATTAAATAAGAGGAACAGAATGGTGTGCTTTTAAAACTTCTAATTACTAGTACAAGATATTAAAAGAAGGTGAGTTTGAGACCAAGGAAATTACTGTTTTTTGTTACTGCTAGCTGCACATGGAAAAGTTGGGTCTGGATTCAAAAGTTTTCATTTACTAATATGGATGAATTGGAACTACTCTAGTTTTGATACTTTTGAGCAGTGTAAAAGAGAATGTGACTTTTTACTAAAAAATCACCACCACATAGTGAATATGCCATTTATCTGGCAGGAAGATTTTTATTTTAAAGATTATAAACTAGCCACCTTCTTCCATTTACACTAGTTCTAGGCTATCATGTTTAAGCAGAAGAGGGTTTGGTTTTTTTACTTGCCTGTGGATAGGACCAGAATAATAATCCGTGTTTCTATTTTTCTTAAAAACACTGTGGGTTTAGGTCATTGCTATCCTCCAAAGAGCCAAATGCATCCACCAGTCACATATGCAATACTGGTTAGTAATCCAAGATTCCTGGCTGTATCTCATACCAATAGGGCACAAGTGGGAATAGTAATTTCTCTAGTTAGTTACCTACTAATCATCTTGCTCTGAATATGATGGCATTTTCAGGAGCAATTCTTCATTCCGGCAGTGTCTGGGAGTCAGCTGTTTTTCAAAACATAGATACACAAGACAGATGCTCCCTCCGTGCCCCCGGCAAACGAGGGTCCCAGCTTCTTTTCTAGACTCTGGTATGAAGCATTTACTGCTCCCCAGAGGTCCTCCTTCTGACTTGAAGTTATATGTACTAGCCTGGCCAGGGGAGGGAGACTTTAAGGAATAGAAAATTTCATCTCGGCATGTTTGGACCTTGAAATTTCTGCCTTCCTGATCTTCAGGATGGACCAAAGCAAGGTGTAACCCACTAGGTGTCACTCAGGCAGAGGCTACGAGCGCGGGTGTCAAAAGCCTTGGCTGCCCTCCTCTCTCCATTTGTGAGAACTGGCCTGCGTTATTTCACTGTCATGTAAACACAGCAGGCACTTTTTTCACTTGTAAAAAACCCAACAATTAAAATTACCCATCATAGTATTAAGAGGGAGGATAGAAATATGAACAGAAAAATTACAAATATTTAATCATGCAACTTGTAAGAGAGAAAAAATAAATCTGTATGTAATAGGTTGACATGAAAAATGGTCTATAGCAAAAGTCTAATCTTGCACATCTCAATAACAGGATGAACTGATCAGAGATTCTCTTTTCCCATCTGTTACCTTTTACAAAAATACCTGCATCATTGCCATTGCTTTTCCCTTGGTACTTCCCTAACCTGACTTGCTGGCACATGTCCATGTCAGAACAAGGACAGGGCTTGAGATTTTATTTGAAGGTGATCAGCACTTTTCATCAAGCATTGGTATGAAAAAGAACCATCTACTTGGTTAATTTTAAAGCATTACAGTAAAAATTAACTACATAAATGAATTCCTGAGTTTCATATTGATTTCCGTAATAAATGTATATCTTTTGTTTAGTACTGTAAAACTTTAATAGATGGATTGTTTTTCCACTGCTAAATTAAAGTCAGAAGTTTGGTATCTTTACTAAAATAAAGGTGGTATGACTTTGTACTTGCATTTCCTACTGCAAATAATGATTGAGTAGCTTAAAAATAACAACTTTCATTCCTTTTTCCTATTTTCAGCATTTGTATCTGCTGCGGCGTAGCAAAGGAGGAGGCATACATGTTTGTATGTTCTCTTTGGCTTTGAAGTGCTGGATGTCTGATCCAATGTGGCAGGTGCTGTTGCGTGAGTCAAGGGACCTGTGTCCTCTTCCTGTTGCCACTGACTTGTTGCTTAACCTTGGATAGGTCCTATTTTGTATTTTTGCTTAAATTTTATAGCAGACAATTAAGAGTAAGAAAATATTGATATAATTATATTACATAATAATAATAATATTATTAAGAAAAAAGTCCGGAACCATAGGTTTCAGTATTTTATGTAGTAATAATATATACTGATTTTTTTTTTTTTTTTTTTAGTGGTATGTAGTGGAAAATCCAGTGTTAAAAAGCAATTTTTAAAAAAATGTAAAAAGTTATGTAGTGATTGAATAAATTGGAGAAATGATAGAGAAGTTCTTGGAGGAGACTCTCCTACTACTGAAGTCAACTTCCTTCTCTTCTTGGTTTGCAGTGGAAAGTGAGGTAGATTATTTTAGACTGTATACAGAGTATAAGCACACTGGGAACAGTAGCACTGAGATTCCTCATAAGAGGAGTATTTTTGATGCCTTGAAATTGATGAAGGCCACCTACGTACAGTGTTACATATAATCTCAAAATAAGTTAACTTCCCATCACTAGAACTTTCTGTAAGCAAGAGTTTCAGTCATGCAACTTCTGTACTGAGTAGCAAGATCTTGGAATGATAGAGTGGTTTTGTGATTATCAGACTATCAATTAAATGTATTATCGGATTATCAACAAAAAGTAGTCTTGCAGTACTGATGGTTTTGCATGGTGACCTCCATTCACTTTGTCTGGAAAGGCTGCCTTAGACCCTGTGGAAGGGGGTGTGCCACATACCACCACATAACATCCTGCCTTTTCAGTAGTCTCAGCGTTCACCTGCTCCATAATTGAGCAAACGAGAATGTAAACGTGTTAAAAATTTTGGACGGTTGAGTGAACTAGATTGTGCACTTTAGAAGGATGTGGTGAAGGCAAGGAAGTATTTTTAGCTTCATTAACTTTTTCTGGTTACAAAGAATCGGGAGGAAAAAGGTTTTAAAACATGTTGGCCCCAAAAATGCCAACCCACAACATCCCCAGAAGCGCATCAGCAGCGAGTCTTAATCTGTGATGAGAGGGGCTTCCCCACACCCGCTGCAAGCCACTGCCAAGTTTTCCCCTCTGATTCGATGGCAGAAGATCTTGCAACATAGCTCGGTTTTACCTTTACGAGAAGCATCGCTTTTCCCCCGTGTGTTACTGCAAGGGGGCACATCTAGCATCCCCATGGCTCTCTTTTTCAACTTTCCTTCAGGAACCTTTGCTTCCCCTTGAAAAAGTTGACAGTAGTTTCTCATTGTTTCCTCCACAATGCGTAGCTTAAAGGGAGTGCTCCCTTAGAGCAGCCTAACAAAGGCCCCAAAGAGGCAGTTTGCAAGGTCGAGGCATCCTGAGACCATGTGAAACACAACTGTGGAAGAGGTTAGACTTTGATTTCTGGGGCTCTGTATTAATTGGGTTATATTGGAACCTCCTGACTGTGACCTGATTTTAAAATGGTGACATATGCCACTCTTAAACTTGTTGGGAGGGGAGGAGTTGTGGGAGACAGAGAATGTGGAGTCTAACAGCTTGCTTTTCTGCTGGATTGCCTGGCAGAAATACGTCGAGCTAAAATAAGAGCTTGTGGCAGTGACTGTTCCTCTCCCTTTCCCTTCTGGCTGAAAATGCGAAGCAAGAGTCTGAGCAAGATAGACTTGGGATGTAAGGGCGTCGGAGGAGCTGAGAAGCTGCAGCACGCCTTTTGTGTGCCGCCTTGTTCCCCAGCGTCCTTCCAGTTCCCACCATTTGTTGACTTCACTTTATATAAAACATCAGAAAAGGACAGTTAACCTTCCTGTAATGGGATGCGTGTTAAGAAGTGAGGAATGTTTGTTGTGCAAGTACTGAGGTAGAAAAGGAGGTCTTGTCACTAGAAAAAAATGTGTTGGAGCCTGAGAACTCGTTTTTTAGCATGAACATCTAAGTCAAAGACACTTCCCTTCTTTCATCAGCAAATAAATGAAGTGTGCATACTGATTATTCCATTATTTGCAAGTCAGAATTGTAAATTGCTGCATTCACTCTGATGCAGTTTACCATTTGAAAGAAATAATTAAAGCTTTCCCTTGCTTGAGATTTAAACGTGTATTTAAAAATGAGATCATGCTTTCATGGTGGTCATAGTTTCTTTATATATTTGTGTGGGGTAGCCTCAGAAATGGGTGTACGATCTGCTGGTGTGCTGTGATGTATTTCCTTTAATTATACATTTGTTTTGAGAAAGATGGTTATTCCCGGCCTCCGTCTTCCCTCGGTTACATCCGCACAGTCCCACTGCAGTGGGAGTTGTGCGTACCTCAGTGTGTAGTTCAGCCATATGTGCTGCTTATTTATATCTCCTGCATGAAATAAGCTATTCCAAACAGATGATTTCTGTTCTGGTAATAGAAGATAAATGCAAGTGTGTGTACAGTTCTTCCTCACTAAATGAGGATATGACACATTGCCAGTCACCGTGCTTGGTGAAGCCCTTGTTTTGTCAAGTCCAGACAGAGTGTAAGGCTGTGCCTGTCTGATGTTTCAGACACTCAAGGGTTCAATTAATTTACAGATGATAATTTGTTTTCGGCTCCTGTAGATACGGATGCCTTCTTTACTCAGCCTCTATTGTGTCATTCTATGAGAAGTCAGCTCCAACTGCATGAAGCTCAATTTTTGTAATTTGTTTGTAGAAATGGCATATTCTCCCTGCATTGTGAGCGCAGCTGTGCAGCATTTTCAAAACACGCTGCAAAGCTTGTGCCATCTTAAAATGACAGTTTCTTTCCAGCTGCCTGTATTTTCTGTATACGTAATTTCATAAAACCACTGAGCACAAGGAACGAAAGACTGGCTTTATTTAAAAAAAAAACAAAAACAAAAACAAAAACAAAAAACCAATAACACAAATAATATTAATAATAAGTGTTCCAGCAACATAAATTTTACCTCCTGAAGTTATTTACCTCTTTAGAAGTTATTTTATCTGGCTGAGTTAGGGATGCAGATGCCTTTAATTGTGGCGGCCGTGTGAATGGGGGGACGTGTCCCGGTGAAATTCCCGGCAGCACCGCAGGCGTGCGGTTCACCGGGGCCGCGTCCCGGACTGAACCCACCTCCTGGGCAGCCAAAAGATGAAGTTAACTATGTTCTTAACGAATTCCACCCCTAAAACACGCCGTGTAAACAAATAGCAACTTACTGTAATCCATTCTGTTTGCTGCACTCTTTTTCAGCGTGTCCCCACCAGCGAGGAGCAGGGGCCCAAACCCGTACGAGAAGGGGGCTGAGCTCACGCCAGGCTCGCTACAGAAAAATGAGTCACGGTGACTTTGTTCCAGGACGGGCTTCTGGTTTGCATCTTAGTCATGAGCCAGTGCTCTTTGAGACACTCACCCCGTGAAACCCAGCAGCGTTGGGCAGTCGCGAGTGCCGGCTCTGGCTTTAGGGGAGGACTCTCCATTCCAGCGCTGACGTGGTGGTAAACTTGCGTGTCCTCGTGTGCAAGCACACCCGCACGCACACCCACGCTGTCAGTGGCCTAGGACTGGTGATTTTTTTTTTATTTTTTTTTTTTGCCGGAGGAAATCCTCCTTGGTAAGGCGCTGGGGCTGGCGAGGTTGACGAGAGGTGAAGCTCAAGGCTTAATGCCTGGTAAATCAAACGCAAAGGAATTTCTTACCCCTTTTACCGTTGGGAGAGACCGAGTCGCTGCGTTTTTAGTTTTCTTTGGTGTCACTAGTTAAATGCGGGGGGGGGTGGCGAATCGCTGTCACGGGTGCGGGGACAGGGCGGGCTGCGGCTTGTCCCTTCAGGAGGGGACCGGGAGGTTGCCGGGGCAGGGGGGGAAGGTTGCCGGGGCGGTGCGGAGGTTGCCGGGGCAGGGGGGGGGAGGTTGCCGGGGCGGTGCGGAGGTTGCCGGGGCAGGGGGGGGGGAGGTTGCCGGGGCAGGGGGGGGGAGGTTGCCGGGGCGGTGCGGGAGGTTGCCGGGGCGGTGCGGGAGGTTGCCGGGGCAGGAGGGGGAAGGTTGCCGGGGCGGTGCGGAGGTTGCCGGGGCAGGAGGGGGAAGGTTGCCGGGGCGGTGCGGAGGGCCGGTCCGGTTTCCCGGCAGGGAGCAGTCGCACCGCCGCCTCGGAGCTCCTCCCCGGGCCGCGGAGCTGGGGAGAGGGAGGAGGAGGAAGAGGAGGAGGGAAGAGTGGCGGGGGGGGGGGGGGGGGGGGGGGAGCACTATTTAAGGCAGCGGGGAGACGATGCGAGGAGCAGAAGGAGCTCTGCGGGGCGGGCTGGCCCCTAGCGCCGGGCGGGCAGGGCGGCCGTGAGCCTGGCTGCCGCTCCCCGCAGCGCCGGGGCTCGGCTCCGGCTGCCCCCGCTTCCTGCCCCCGGCCCCCCCCGGCTCTTGGGAACCCCGACAGCAACTCCAGAAACAACCCGGGACCTGCAGCCCGACAGACAGGCGTTTCAGCGTTTTTAAGGTGGAAAATACTGGCGTGCGAGCGGCTGGCTGCAGCAGTCAGTTTATTTTTTTTTTTTTTATTATTATTTTTTTTTTCACCACCCCATTCCGCCACCAAGAAGACTTGCTTTGAAGGTCTCCTTAAATTGGGTCAAAAGGACTCGCAATCGAGGGGAGCAAAAGGCGGTAGGTTTGGGGGGACACACACACCCCAAAAGTTGCCGGGCGCTCCGTCCATCAGGCTCTGCTCGTTCTTCTTGGCATTAGGTTTTGTGCTTTGGCTGCTGCTTTTCTCATTTTAAATTTATTTTAGGGCCCCTAGCCTGGCTTGCTTGATTCAGCAGAGGAGGTGTGGTTCGCGTGAGAGGGCGAGTACTTGGGGACTGAAATCTCCCACCAAGGGATCTGCCTCTGTTGAAATACATTGTGCAAGTACAGCATTGCTCTTGGTGATTGCTAACGTTGGTTCTAAATAATAGCCGACTGATTTGGGATGTCAGAATGCTGAAATAGAAACGCCAATGAATTCTGATGGTCTCTGTTCTTGCCGCTTTCTATTTTTAGAGGAGTTGGGGGATTCAGCTCTGTATAGTAAGGCAGTTCTTTAAAAATAGTAGCGAAACTTAAACGATAATCAAGTGATCAGTAACAATATTGTAAATAGCATTAAAGATATGGCTGAAAAAGATCAGAAGTCACTTCTTTGGCTCCTTGGCACAGCAGGGCTCCTTGAACCCTGGTTGATCCTCTTGCATATGTATCACGGGGGCTCTTAAACCTGGGTGTGATGAAGCATCTGATTCCTTCTGGAGTTGAGGGATTTAAAACCTCTGAAGTTACTTGAGGGTTTAAGGTACTCTTGGTGGTTTAGGAAGAGAGTTGCCTTGTATGTCTGTGGAAGAATAATAGAGATACCAGTAATTTTGGAGCTTAACTGGCAAACAAATATACCGGTTGCTTTAAATTTAATCTAAAAATGGGAAACTGGAGAGGTGCAACATTTTTTCTTTTTCCTGGCAATCCTGACGTGCTGTTTCCCAGGGTAATGCAAAAAGCCTTATAAATGAGCGTTCCAAAATAAGGAAGACTCGGTGAGAAATTTTCCAGAGCATACTGTCAGCAGTAAGAAATTATTGCCAAATTTGATCTGTTCTCTGGGATTCTGTTTTGAAATGAGAAGTTACTTTGCCCGGAATGCGTTTATCCAGGAAGTAATCCTTAATGTGCTCCACTCTAAGCTTTGAGGTTACGTGCGAGGAGATTGAAGAGGGTTTAATTAAATGTAATCAAATGTTACAAGATTCCTGATTAAAAGGTATAGAGCTTGCTTTCTGGTGATGTACGAGACGTGCTATTTATTTGGACTGTAGGGGCAAAAAAAAAAAAAAAAAAAAAAGTATTTTCATCTTACAAATAATTTTTTTTCGTCTCTGTTCCTGAGTAACTCGCACCCTGTTGTTTCCGTGGCTGCCCGGTTTGAACTCCCGGCGAGCAGCCCCGGGGCTCGGCGTGTCACGGCGGGGTGACGGGGCGCAGGCTGCGCCACGAAGTCAGTGCCAGAGCGCGCGGGCACACGAGAAGGGGCTGTGGGTGCCGCGGGAGCGCCCGGGCACGCGGGGGACTGTCGGTGTCGGGTGTGCAGCAAGGAGGAGCAGGGTGGAAGCACTTGAATTCCCACGTCTGAAAACCCAAGGGTTAAACCCCGGCCCCTGCTGAAGTCAGTATGAAGTTTGCTCTTGGTTTAAGCGAAGGCGGCAGTTCTCTGCCGAGTGGGGCTGTGTGAGGGAAGCTACTTGTGAAGGGAATGGCAATGTGTGCCTCTGCCCCTTTTTCTGGTGGAGAAGAAACGGTGCCTGCACGTTTAAAGTGCAGTGGGAACGCTGTATGTCTGCTAATTCTTCTGCTCTCAGGTCTGTGTGTGAGGGAGGCGTAAAACTGAAGAAAGCAGCGTTCGCTTTTGTGGAACATAACGAACTAAAGTGCTGTTTATTATTAAACATCATCACAAGGAGGAGGGCATCAGACTTTCCTGCCCCCCCTCTGGGGACTGTGTGTGCGTGCCTGAGTGTCTCTGAGATTTCATGTGTGAGAAGACGATGAGTGTGTGTTTGGGATTAATTAGCCGGAGTTTAGCTGGTTTCATGCTTTACGTGCCTAGGGGCTACCCACAGTCACAGAGAAGGGAGGAGTTTGCTGTTGCTGGCTCGAAATCCTCTCCAGGGGTGATCTTGTTCGTGTCAACCATGAGCAATTAGAGAGATTAACTGTCTTGTTTTCCTTTCTGCCCTAGATTGATTCTTGTGAGGCTCTGGGACATTTGAAAGTGGTTTGGAGAGAGCAAAGTCTGTGTCTGATGGACACCGAACCAAAGCCAGCGTGTGTCGTGCAGCAGGCTCACTGCCCAGGAATGAAGTGCCCTCCTTCAGAGGACTTTCCTCCCCAGATAAGACTGTCTGAAAAGATACCACCAGTGAAGCCATGCTTCAAGAAGAAGCAGCAAGTGCAGAAGAGACTGGACACAGAAACTCTCCGGGCTTTGCGGCCGATCTTTACCAGTTTGCTGGGAGCTGGGACCTTGAATAGGGTCTTTGTGACCCGAGGCCAAAGTGGCGGTCATAGTGATTTATGTGAACCTGCTGTGAAAAAGACTCTGGACCTTGGTACTTCTTGCCCTCAACCAGAAAATAATGTGACTGTGCTGATGCCAACAGCTCCAGATGTGCAGGCTCAATTGCCAGCAGCTCGTCCTCCTTCTGGGCATCCTGAGCAGGACGTCCGCCGGGTGGGAGAGCAAGGCTTCTCATCAGAAACTGCTCCTGGAACTGCTGCTGATAATAACAGTGAATCATTCCAGGATCATCCTTTGCACCCAGCTGCTAGCGATGGTGCGGCTTGTCCTTTGTTCCCAGACAAGATTCTGGAAAGCTACACATCTGGCTTATTCCAAGAGAATAGCTGTCCAATGCAATACAATTTGAACCCAAGCAATAAATTCGGTGCTGGGATATTCCAGGATAAAAGTGAAGAAGCTTCTCTCGATCTGGTCTTTGAACTCTTGAACCAGCTGCAATATCACACCCATCAGGAAGACGGAATAGAAATCTGTGTGGATTTTCTCCAGGGCACTTGTGTTTATGGCAGCGATTGTCCCAAACATCACACAGTCTTGCCTTATCATTGGCAAGTGAGAAGGACAGCAACGCAGAGCTGGCAAAGTGTGACCAACGATTCACAGGAGCATCTGGAAAGACTCTACTGCAACCCTGACAATGACAGGATCAAAGTGAAATATCGGTAGGTAACTGAATTTACTAGCCAGGGTGCTTAACTGAGCAGCGGTGCAGAAATATAACAGAATGTGTGTTCTTTTTTCCTGATGTTTTGTATACAAGTGCTTTACAAACCCTGTGAGGATGTCACCTGAATAATAATACCTAACAAGTTTGCCACAACAGAAAACTCTTGCACACCTATTAAAACTGCTGTTTAGCATCTGGAAAATATTCTTTGAAGCTGAAGGACTTTGAAGTGTGTGAAATAAGAAAACTTCAGCTCTGTAGTAATTGAGAGGGGTTGACGGAGACTGTTGTGTAACACTGTACTTGTTCTTGACTTTCCTAATTAGTCTTTTCTCTGTATTAGAAAACGTGGCAGCATGAATGAGCCTTTGCAGCAATTGAAACGGGAATAATAGAGCAGTTTCTTTTTGTCCCTGTGAATCCAGGTTGACTGTATGCACTCCAAGCACAGTTTTCATAATTACATTCTAAGCGACTAAAATCAGATGGGTGCTCTGATAAGTCCTTTGACTGGAAATTTCATATAGTTGATAATATACGGTGATGTTTCACTAATTCAGTATGAACAACCTGAGCAATACCTCCAGAAATGCTGATCATCAATTTAAGTTGTCACCTAAAAATGTTTAAGCATTTATTAGATTTCTTCTCTACATAGTAGTGTTTATCTACTATTTTTCTGAAATTAGAAAACAGCTTTTACGTTTGCCTGATTATGATACCAGTTTCGTCTTGATTCTGCACCTTGAGGTCTGAAACAAAACTTCTTCAACTTCTATAATGCAGATTCCATTTTGCATAGTAGTGGGGAGTGCTGATGTTTACAAGTTTGTCAGATCTATATAGTCCATGTTCTTGCGAGTGCAGGGCGTAGACTGCTCTTTTTTTTTTTTTTTGGTCCTGGAGGAAGCATACAATGCACGTTTCTCATATCTTATCTGCCCTGCCAGAATCTGTAAGCCTGGTGCAACTCATTCCAGTCATAGTCAGTTCAAAGCGACACTTCTGTAGTTGGGTAGTAAAAACTTCAAATTTTCTTTGCCGTCTGAGTCCTTGTGGGTTTGTCCTCACTCCCTCTTCTTCCTTCCACCTCCTGAAGAAAGTATATCCCTTCTTGCTTAATGTCTGAATTTTCATTTACTATGGTGAGACTTCTCATCAGGCATCAGAGACCCAATCGCGTGCTTAAAGTCAACATGAGTCTTTACTTTCACCTAAATGGGCACTGGATTAGACACTAAAACTCCGGCTCCATCAGCCTATGGATTCATCCTTTTTACTGAAGGCAACACCAGAATATAGATACCCCACACTGAAAATGAAAGTGAAGAAATATGAATTATATGTAATAGGGAATGATCGTATTTTATAGAATTGTCTTGAAAAAATATGCTGGTCTGCTAAAAAAAAAAAAAAAAAAATCTTGTAACTGCAGAGCAAGCAGATAAGATTTGCTGTATTTTACAGTAGAGAAACTTCCATTTTTTCCAAATATTTTAAATGGGTTCTGAAAACAAAACAGCAAATGTGGAAATTGGACAAGCCCGTGCAAGTAATTTAATTTTGAGCTCTGTGCAAACGAGCAAAAAGTTTTCTTTTGAAGCCTGTATCACAGAATCCATCGCTACACACATGATCTATGTGTTCTAAATGACGGCGTTCAGAATGATTAATTTTAAAAGAAACAATGCTTCATAGGTGCTTAGTCATCTCCAGCTAGTAAAATTGGCTGAATAGCACTGTCCGCCTTTACACTTACTTTGCAGGTTTCCAGTCTGGTGAGTATTTTGGTCTCTTGGTACACAGAGTTTCTGTCTGTCTGAACCAGTCGGGAAGAAACTCGGCGGCTGCGTTGCCAAACCCGTGACGGCTTGTTACGGTGCTGGAGGTGGGGGCAGCACTGGGAAATCCCAGGTGTGCTGGGGCAGAGCTCTGCCGTGACCTTGCACTGCCAACTAGACTTCATCTTGTTAAGCTGAACTGGCGACCCAGTGGGTGTCTGCCCAAGTGGTTTCTTCAGGTAAAAGCAGTCTCCCGAGACTGAAATTATTTTAAACACCAGAATTTTCTAACTAAACGCTGCGTCGAGCTGCTAATTCTGTAGCCTGCACTCTTCTTCCCTCCCTTAAAGACGTCATGGAGATCTTTGCTTCAGTCAGTGCTGCAAAATCATGCCCCAGTGCAAGGTTGGATGGCTGTTGTAAATTGAAAATATCCACTTCCCATGGAATGACAAATTGGCAGTTTGTATAATTCTTCTATGTATTTCATCCCTTGGAAGAGCTTCATGTTTGTGGATAAGTATCAGTGAGAACCTAGGAGTGAAACTTCTTTCAAGACTTGAGCTTCTGATTTCAAACACTGAATCTGATAATGCCTTAAAACTTAGACTTCCCGCGACTTTTAGGCTAGGCTTGGCACGACTTTTAAGCTAGCTTCTGCAGCGGGGGTAAGTGTTTTCCTGTGCATCGTCACCAGTTTCTTCTTCCACAACACGGCCTTGGAGCAGAAGAACCTGCTAACCCTTTTCGGTGTGGGCCGCCCGGGCTCGGCGTGGCTCTTGGTGGAGTTCACTGCTGGTCACTGCAACCTGCCTTCCCTTGTGTTCCCGGGCGATGTTGTGTCTCCTGGCAACAAGATGCAGATAGCAGCGCGTTGAACCTTGCCGAGAGGCTCGCAAACATGCTAGAACAGCTCATCGTTCACATGGTTACCGCATTATTTGGCTAAAGCTATTAATCTCTTGTGGTCAGACTAGCTTTACAGGCCTATCTATACAGATTGCATACAACAAGGAAATGTCTGTTCGGCAGTTTGCATGTCCAAGAAAGGCCGTGCAGAAGCCAGCCTGACAACCAGTGGGTGGTAGTTGTTTATTCTCCTTTGTTTTAAACACATTTTATATGGCATAGTAAGCAACGATTACAGTCTGCATACATAATGTTGCCATTGTGTGCTGCTCCAAGAAAGTGTTGGACTATTGGCTCAATTGGAGAATAAGCTCTAAATTCAAACATTATGTGCTTCAAGTAGCTATTTATATAAAGCTTCCTTCATCTTAATGTTATTGAGGTGAGTAATGTAAAATATACATCAAGTTGTTGCCTTTCACCTCGGGGAACATGATCTTAAAGAAGGAGAAGTGGTAAACCTTGTTTAGTTACTTCTTTGTAATACAAACGCCTCGGATGCTTACTGCAGTTTGGCCTCAAACTTTAATATAAAACTTTCTGATAAACTGTTTATATTTTTGCTTTCTTAAGTCTGTCAAGTATTTAGAGCCAAATACCAAGCTGTCTAAACAAATGGAGGAATCTGAACTTAAGCAGGTTAAAATACTTAGAAGCACTCGAGTTTTCTTCATACATGTGAGGAGAGGCCCTGGAAGAGTTCCAGCTTGCAGGGAAGTATTAGAGAGAACAATGCCAAGTACTGCTTTCCAACATGAGAGTACCCAAGCTGGGATATTTTAAGATGCTCTTTAGTAAGGGGAAATACTTGGCTGCAGAACTGAGCAGGTTTCCCCCCCCCCCCCCCCACCTGTCCAATCATGCATATGCTGCTTTTCAAATAAGCAACATCATTACTGATTACAGGAGGATTTGTTTAAAACAACTCTGCAGTTCCTGACCCATCAGTTCCCCCTCTTTGGCTGAAAATTCCACCACTTCTCTTGGCAAAGAAACATCCCTGTGTGCCATGGGAACTGCAGCGTCTGTTCAACTACATGTACCCCAGCATATCCCAACTCACAGGAAACAACAGCTTCTCATAGTTGCTTTGATTTAATTTTTTTTTTTTTCCCCCTCCCTGTAAGTTTTATGAAATGGCTCCTTCTATCTAGAAGAGAAAGGCCAAAATGAAATAGGTCCAGTCAGCAAAAAGCAGGTGGGCCTCCAGTGGTGCATATTCTGCCTGGGAGCAGTTGACTAATTACTCAGTATGCATGCATGGTTTGTGGATGAAGTCAGAGTAAATACTGTGTGTTCCCCCATGGGGTTATCAGTGGGCATATGGAGGGACCTGGGAAGGAACAGTAAGTACAAAAGGAAACTAGTTTTCCTTCATTCTTGTGTCCATGGGATAACTCGTTTCTCTGATACTGTTAGAATATGCTTACATGATTTAAAAATTATATAGAGCACATGGGAAGCATTTCAGTCGCTCAGGGACTTCTGCACATGGTCTGACCAATTGAATAGTTAAATTTAGGAAGTTATCTTTCTGATTTGCACAGCTGCCACAGTGTATGAGATAACTCATGTGTTATTGATAACACCGGAGATGAGAAAACAGCTGAAATTCACTGTGCCTGGCGATTTTGTGTGTGGTGTTTCTTGAATATACACAGCTGAATGGTTTTGAACTTCTTTTAATTCCTTGCTAGAAGGAATGCAAGACAGAGGCTCTAAATAAAAAGCATGTGAAGTGATTTTAGAAGTGTTTGCCTTGTGCTTTATAATAGTATGCTCCAATGAATTCCTGTGTGCTTCACTTTATAGTATCATTTACATATGAAATAAAACTAATTGGCTTCTAGCTATACAAATCTAGGGAAGTTACAAGTGTTATGCTGAGCTGCTTTAGGAATCTGCAAGCACTCATATATCCCTTTTCTTGTTTCACGTCAATAAACAGATTTCAGTTTTGGAAACAGCTGTCACCTGGCTTCAGGTTGAGGTCAGTCTGTTCCGTGTGTACTCAGGGTAATAAAACAGTCCTTTCTGAAACAAAGAGTTATAATTGGTGAAACAGATTGCTCAGAAGAGCTGTTTACAGGTAATCCAGCGGGCAGAGTGTTGCAGCATTGTCTGCCTGCCCATTTCGGTAAGGAAGAGGAACAGAAAGAGTCTGTTACAATTATTTGCTTAGCAAGAGCAGTGATCGCGAAGTACCTTCCTAGTTGGTACACGTATTTGTCGAAATCAGTAGGGATTTGAGCTGAGTAATAATTATAAAACTTGGTATTTGTAGTCAAATATATAAAGGAGTATT